TTAATTCATCATCTCATTTAACCCTCATACCAGGTCGGCAACATTTCCTCATTTTCCTAATGAGGAACTAAGCTCAGAGAAGTCAGGTTTATTCACTTGTTCAACATGAACTAAGTACCTACCTCATATATGCCAAGTACTCTGCTAAGCACTGAGGGTACAATGCTGAGCAAACCAACGTGGCTCCTGCCCTCACAGAGCTTATAGTCTAGTAGGAGGGAGAATTTATCAAAGAATCCTACAAAAAACAGCACAGAGGAGAGGTTGTAGTGCTGCAAGAACAGATAGAAGGGAAAAGGCACTAGTCAGGGATGTCAAGGGAAGGCCTCCCAAGGAGGTGATGACTAAGTTGAGGTATGAAAAAAAAAAAAAAAGATGTAGCTAAGTCAAAATAAGGAAGGAGCGCAGGGATAAGTGAGCCAAATAGAAGGAACGACAGATGCAAAGGCCCTACGGTGGGAAATACATGCTGCATTGCAGGTACCAAGAAGTGGCCAGAGGGGAGATCAGCTAGAGCCCCAGAGCTAGCACAGGAAGAAATGGGGCTGGAAAGGCAGCAGAGAGCAGAGCACACAGGGCCTCTCAGGCCACGAAGGGTTATATTTGTATCCTAAGAGCAATGGGACGCCTCTGGAATGTGACACAATGGTTTGAAAAGATGTTCCAACTGAGATATGGAGAACAGATTGGACGGGAGAGGAAGTGGATGTGAGAAAAGGAGGACACCAATCAGAGGCCCCTGCAGGATCCAGGAAAGAGGGGACAGTAGCCTGAACTACAGTGGTGGCAATGGAGCTGGAGAGAAGTAGTGCTGGCCACAACCACACAATCAGGAAGCTGACAGAGCTGAGATACAAACCCAGGCCTGTGTGACTTCAAAGCCCATGTTTCTCTTTACCTTGTCATTTATTCACTCATTCAGCAATTAGTGACTAATCACCTACTGTGTGCCAGGGCTGTGCCAGGTGCTAGGGATACAGCCAGGAACAAAACAGACACTGCTCTCAGGGAATCTACAGTCTAGTCATTAAACAAACAAGAATACAAAGAGATGCATACAATTACAAATTGGGACGAACACCACGGAGGAACAACAGAGAATTTAACAAGGAAGGTGACCTATAAGGCCACGAAGATCTTCCAAATTTTTGATAATATAAAAGAACCACTTGCTGGCTGCACGTAAGTGAAAGACTTTAGGAAACTGCCTGTCAGAGCTGGATATTGAGCATCGCATCCCTGGCCAGCTCAAGCCCTCAGGGGAGAAGCTGGTATGTCTCAAGCTCTGCGCAGGCCTCGTTGAAATAGAAGTCTTTCTAAAAGCAACAGCTAACGCCTTAACATACTAACATACCCCAACCTCAGGCACCCCTCACGTATGTATGGACAGCATTTTACAATTCGCCGGGATCTCTCTCCCAGATTTATTCATTTGAAGTTCACAAGCAGTCCTATGTAGAATGCAGGTAGGTTTTAATATCCTCCTTGAGAGACAGGGAAATTGAGGCCTGGACAGGCGAAGTGATTTAAGTGACCAAGGTCATGAAACTAGGAAGGCTCCCAGGTCTGCCATACAACTCTCACTAGAAGCACCTCAGGCCAGGAAATCATGAAGCTCAGATGAGACAGCTGCAGGTCACTGAGCCTGGATAAAGTCACCCAGGAGTCCCATGAAGTTCCTGAGAACAGTGGTCAGGGACATTAAGCAGCTTGGGAAAGGTTTCTAGAATGCAGCTCCATCAGCCTGAGACACAGGTACCCTTGCCAACTTTCCCAGATTAGAACAGGTTCTCTTGGACTTTTTCCAAGTGCCTCTGACTAACAGAGAAAAGTATTTTTCCACTGCAAACACTGCAGGCAGGCACCAGACTCCTGAAGAGGGAGAGCAGACTGCATCCCAGATTCCCATACAGAAAAACTGTAAAGTTATTCTGATACCTTGTGAACTGTCCTAGCTAAGCAGCTACCACGGGGGATGTCAGTCTCGGGCAGCTGTTCTCAATCTTGGCACAACTAACACTTGGGGCTGGGTATTTCTTTGTTGTGGGGGCTGCCCTTGCACTGTAGAATGTTTAGCAGCACCCCTGGCCTCTACCAACTAGATGCCAGTAGCACACCCCAGTTATGACAACCAAATACGTCCCCAGACATTGAAAATGTCCCCTGGGGGACAAAATCACCTGTGGTTGAAAATCACTGGTTTAGGGACTAACCCATCCCATCCCATCCCATCTTACTGGACAGATATATGGTCACTGTGCATAAACTCTTAATCAATTTTAATCAATATCACACAACTAATGCCTTCCAGAATGAGACAGAGCAGCCTCCGTGCTGATGTGGCCTATAGGTAGGTCCCAGGAACAATCCACCACCAGAGCTTGTGAAAACAACTAGAGTCAACTAACTCCTTGTTCCACTAATGAGCTGCTTCTGACCCTGTAAGCAAATCTTGTTCCAATTAATATGAGCAGCTGCGTCTGATTAAACTAGAAGACCTGGGTGTTTCTTCTCAATGATACTGGGCTAGGGCAAAGGCTTCCACGGCTGCTAGAGGGAGCACAAAATTGGTGAATTAAGCAGCAAGACACGCTCATTTACCCAAAATTCAGTACAATAACCAGGACACTCAAACATCCCAGCTTTGAACAATTCTGGACTTAGGAGAAGGGGGAAAGTGAAAAAGTACATAAACAAGTGATCTGAATTAACAAGTTAATTAAATAGCTGAAACATTACCAAAAAATCACTCTCAAGTGGAGGTGGAGACCTGAAGCTGAGCTCAGAGCAGCTGGAGTGACTCACACAGTATCAGGGACGTGGGTTCCAACCTCCCGCCCCAAGGGCTGGGCCATTGCCCCAGACGTGGAAATCAGCGTCGGTTACAATGCTTCAAAGCTAGAATCAAAGGAGCAGCATCTTTATGTCTTTCATTAGTCAGCTACCTAACTAGGCAAAGGGTTTACTGACAGACTCAACCATACTCACTATGACTTGGTAGTAAGTGCATTTTACTGCACTGCAATTCTTTGAAGACTGACTAACCATGAAACGCCTACCTGTTAACACCCAATTACTCACACTACTGCTAGTTTCTATGCTACTTCTGCATGCTGCACTTACCTCTGTTCTTGCACATCTCAGACTGCAATGTACTGAAACTTGATCACAGGTCTGTCTCCACTAGTGGACAGTGGGCTCCTGGAGGGCAGGATTTGTATCTAGTACGAGGCATGGTACATAAACAGATCCTCATCATTTGTATGATGGGTGGATGGATGGTAAAGTCTTTCATCTCTATATTCTTAGACTTAAGCCTGTCTGCACATTCTAGTGGAAGGACACGGCCCATGTCTTTCCTCCTCTGTTTCTCCAAGGTTTAGCACATCGTTCAATAGGTTCCCTATAAACAGTAACTGATTTGGTTGGACTCTTGAATCCAAACTGACAAACTGAAGTCTTCTGTTCATGAACCAGTGAGGCCAAGGAAAGAGGTCAGAAGTCCTAGCTGTCTACACTGACTCAAATGCATCTGAGTACGTTTAGTCTCTTTTTAACCAGAAACAGTTTAATGCAGGAAACGAATATATTCTCCGCTAGGCAGTGGAGACACAGAAGTGAACAAGACTAATATGGTGCCTTCCCTCACAGAGCTCACTCTCTGCAGGAAAAGAGAGATTAACAATTATACAGCACACATGTGTGGTGATGGATTATAATTATAATTTGGGTGATGAACATGATGTAATCTACAGAGAATTCGAAATATATTACAATGTACACCTGAAAGTTATATAATGTTATAAACCAACGTTACAGCAATAAAAAAAACCAATTATACAAATAAGCAGCTACTATGCTCAGTGAGTCTCTTTAAGAAAAATTTCTGTGGATAGTCCCAATATTCAAACAGTCTGAACCTCTTTGAGGAAAGTCATGATTTTCCTCCAAACGAATGACACTTTCCTTAAAGCATCCTCTGAAGTGGTAAACATGGAAAGTTTACTATACACCTTTGTTATACAGGCCTCTGTCCCAAAATGATCGTAAAATTTCTTTTACAGACCAATTAAAAGCATCATAGATATGAATACTCGTAAGTCTATGTCTGTGTGTTCACATGTGTGGTATGTGTGACTTACCAAAGATAACTGAAGCTGACCTGAAAACCCACAAAAGCCAGAAAGTACTGGAATAACAGTCACCAGGTATGTGGGAGTCCAGAGGTCTGGGTATAGCTAACAAGCAGGCCAAGAGCAGTCCAGGGGACTCCCGAGAACCCCTGAAGTTCAGACGGCCTTGACACTATAATAGATCTTAAGATTTACAGACTGCCTGTCTGGGAAAGGCTGCGGAAGTCAGCAGGAGCTCTAGGAAGGCAGGGAACAAGAGAGGCCGCAAGGAACAACCCCCAGAACAAAGTCAGGAATACGAAGACCAGGAAAGGAGAACTGCGCTCAGAAAAGACAAGAACTACATGAAGTCTTAAGAAAAGATAAAGATGCCAGAATCTGCATGGCATGGCACAGTAAGGTAACATGTGAGGGAACCTCTGGATGTCTGAATCAATGTACAGAGTTTGTTAATAAAGATCTCAATCAAAATATGCCAGTTACGATTCAAAGCAATGCTCCTGCCTCACTCTTGAAATATTTATCTTTAACTTCACAGTTTCTGACGCCTTTAACTTAGACTCAGGCAGAAATGCAAACAGAGTCATCCCTTCAGCTCTGACACAGCAAAGATGCCTCAACACCCTGGAGAATTTCCGGATGATGCTTGCTGCCATGGGTTCCTTCTCAAAGCCTCCTGGCTCTGAGGCCCGAAGGAGTTAACCTAACCCACACAACAATTGCAGAACTAGGTCCCAGGTCCTCCCTTCCCAGCCCTTCAAGCTTTTCATCAGTAAAAACCAACCTACTTGATCCCGAGCACCCAGGGCTATTGAGACAGCTGTCCCCCAGCTGCTCTTGCCAACCACAAGTTCTCTGCTCTCTCACCTGTCTGAGCAACTAGGTGTGTCCACCCACTCCAGACGGCAGTGACCTTTTCATGCTGAAAACAATGTGCTTCTATTTTCTGGGGCACAGGAAGGAAAGCAGCCTGGGAAGCCAGCTGCCCGTGTTTGTTGCTTCCCCAAACATACAGCTCTCCTGCATCTTCAACAGAGGGGAACAAGAGAGGTGAAGGAACATTAGTCCAAAATGATGGAAGATAATACAAGTCAGAACAAAAAGGGGTTAAAAGAGGTTGTATTACTCATATGCTACAATGTTGAGTCGAGCAAAGCAAGATACAAAACTCACGTATAGCATAACATACACGATTTTTTTTAAATTCTGTAAATAGGAAACAAGGCCAAATGTTCTTAGTAGTTTGTCAAGGAATAGGAATGTGGGAGTTTATTTCTTCATTAATCCATTCAACAAATATTTATTTAACATCTACCATTTGCAAGACATATGTTTCACTATTTTCTACATTTTTAAAATACATGTTTGCATTACCTTTTGTTAGGAAAAAATATATTAACTTTTAAAAATAACAGGTTAAAAGACACATTATTTAAACAAACTTTTCAAGCATAAGCTTACTTTACTACATGCCCTGTTCAGCAGAAAGCACAACACTGCCACAGCCCATCCGTGTGGCGCTTTGGCTCATCTGACCCTCACAATAATTCTGTGATATAAGCAGGAATGTGACTGACTGACATTGCGGTTTAATAGGAAGAGAGAGAGCAAATTCAGAGTCAAGTGACTCTGGCTCTATTCCTGGATCTGCTAACTAGCTACTGACCTTGGGCAAATCATTTCCTCTCCATGCCTTAGTTTCACCAGCTGGAAACTGCAGGAGAGGGTGGTTGATCTAGAAGGGCAGACGATCTGATGACAGTGGTAACAAGACAGACAGGTGAGCGACTCTGGCAAACCAGAGGCACACACACTTGTCTCCAGGAATTTACATCCAAAAATTTTTTAACTGGAAGTCAAACAAAATGGGGCCAAGGGCTACAATTTGGCCGATGAACCTACAGTTTGTGACTCCTTGGATGGCCTCTAAGCGCTTTTCCAACCCTAACATTTAAGATTCTACACTGTCCTGTGCAGCACACGGCATACACAGTGGCTACTGAACACTTGAAATGTGGCTAGTCCCAACTGAGATGTGTTGTAAGACCAAAAAAGGCAAAACAGATTGCAAAGACAATGCAAAAAAAACCCAAAAAGAGTGTAGCTCATTAATAATTTTCATATTGATTACATATTGAAATAATATTTTGGATATACTGGATTAAGTAAAATATTAAAATGAATTCACCACTTCTTTTTACTTTTTGAAATGTGGCTCACATTACATTTGTACTAGACAGCACTCCTCTGAAGATAAATTAATCAAGGCTCAGAGAAGTCAAATGCCTTTAAAGATCACATGGCCAATAAGGAGTCAAGCAGAACTAGAAGCCAGGGCTTCACTTCCCTGCATTGTGTGACCTCCCAATAAAGCTTCACAGTATTCCTTGCCCTAGGGCAGTCTGGTATATTCTCAAAAACTTATCAAAAGTCAAACAGTATCTAAGGACATTAGGCCAGGATTCAGGGTTCAAGTTCTACATCTGCTGCTCAACCACTCTTTGACATTGGGCACATCCCTTCACATTCTGGGCCTCTGTCTCATCAAGTCTAAAATGAGGGAGCGTAAATCAGTAGAGCCTTTTTGTCACCCAGGTGACCTTGCAGCGCTGACATTCTGCAGTTCTATGAAGTGAATTTAGTGTATTTCATGCCCAGAGAGAGGGCAATCTCCCTGGACTTCACCAGGGTATGCAAAGTATGAGGACCCCTTACAGGAGAGCAGAGGAGCCCCTCACCAAAGTCTCAACCCATGAAATGGACTGGTTAGCTTACCAAGATGCCACTGACGATGAGCCTGTGTCTGCAATGAGCCTTCATTTATCTTAGTAAGTCTAAACCACCTTTTCGCAAAGACAAACTGTCTTCCACATGCGGATCATTACGCTGTTGCATCAGCAGGCAAAATTAAATTCTGCGGCAATGCCAAATAGTTACATAATCTACAACTCCAGAGGAAAGGTCTAAAGGGCACTGAACAAAATTCACTGTGTAGCAGCTTGAACTTGACCAGGAAAGAGGGATATTAATCTTGACAATTTTTAAGCCACTTTCAAAACACCAAAAATCAAGTCACTTTGTGAATATACTAAAAATCACTAAATTGTACACTTTAAAAGGGTGAATTTTATATATAAATTACATCTCAATAAAACAAAAATTCAACATCTATGTTTTAAAAACACCATAATAGAAGTGCTCCACATATGAATAAATAACTTTACTGATTACAAGATTTTCGAAGAGACTGACGTTAGCTAGGAATTAGAGAGTCTCTAGGTTTACGTATGCAGCCATTTCAAATTAATTAGAACAGCATAGAAACATCTTAGTCTGCCCTTACTCTCAGAAAAGAATGCCTTGCCCAACCCTCACTGACTGTGGGGCATGAACACGTCACTTCTCGCCCTGGGGCCTCCAGTCCTTCCTCTAAAAGGAGAGATGGGACCAGTGGAGTCCCTTATAGCTGGCATTCATTTCAGTTCAACCCTTTTCACATATATATAAATCTACTTCATATGAAACATAGGCTAAAAGTAGGTATTTCTTTTGTTCTTTGGTTGTTTTAAATTCATTAAATAAATTATCTATAGCTCAGAATTTGTAAACTATTTAAATTCTCACATTATGGCTCTCATACTCCAGAGACAATGCAGCTTCTGAGTTGGGCTGCACGGCAAATTTGATGTTGAGGAATGCAGGCCATCACTAATTTACATATATTATGTACACACCTTAATACCAGCCACATAAAACACTGAAAACACTAAGGATGAAAGTCATTTCCCTTTGCTTAAAAAATGTAAACCATTCAACTCCGTGTGAGAGGTCTTAGCAAAACAAATCTCTCAGAGCCACTGTCTCCTGTCCACCAGCAGGGGTCAGGGCAAGCTAGGCCTTGGAAGACAGAACCTTCACTTTCAAGAAAATGCTGCATTGTCACTAGAAAGTTTATACTGCATCGGCTGGGTGTGCCAAATGTATGGATGGATGCACAGCCAAAAAGATAGAGGGTGAGAAAGAAAAACAGACGGAATAGAGATAAACAAGAGAAATATAGAAAAATATAAAACAGATTAGAGAAATATAAACAAAACTAGATTTAGAGAGATAGATACACAGACTAGAATGAAAGATATAAGGATGAAAGATAAATAAAAATAGAGATATACAGTTAAGTAAATAAAATAGAGTAGATAAATACAAAGAGAGCAAACAGAGAGATAAATGGATCAGAAGGATACAGGTGGATAAAATAGGTTAGTTTGAGATTAAACAGCTAGAGAGAATAGATAGACAGAGAGCTTAGAGAGTTATATTAGACACTGAAACGCATTTAATGGATAAGATCACAATACATTAGATATAGATCTACTGTTGGTTATATGATTTGACAGTCACAATTACTCTGAGAGGAAGATACGCTCATCCCTATGGTAGTTGAGAAAACAAACTCAGGGGAAGGACGTGAGCCTATGTTTCATGTGAGTGCTTTACATGTATTTGCATATTTAATTCTCAAAACTACCCACAAGGTATTTTATACACAAGGAAACAGTCTCAGGAAGGTAAAGTGACTTGCCTAAGATCACACCAATGGTGGCATCAGAATTCTGACTCCAAAGTCTATGCTCTTCTCTCTGTGTCCTGATAGCACCACTTGAGGCAGAAACCTACAGAATTCTGGATGGCACGTTAACCTGAAAGAGCTGGTACCCACCTGTCAATGAAGCTGAGTGATCTGAGCCAGCAACAACACATGTCGCCTTAGAATCCTCTAGGCCTACAAAAAAATTAATTTCTTTTGAAATTACATTTATAACAGAACAAACTAGGCAGAGAAGGAACTCAAGAAACACCACCAGGGCTTGGGGAGAAACTCAGCCAGTACAGAAAGGTCTGAGTCAGCGGCATTGGCCAAGAAGATAGGTGGCATGGTAGAGAGACTGGTTACGTACCAGGGGGTTGAACAAAAAAGTAAATGTACTGAGGATAAAGGAGGCAAATTTCTCACTATCAGAGAGGAGAGGAAAGGTCCAGACACAGAAAGGTGGAAGGCTGGACTTGACCATGCAATGTTGGATTTTAACTGGAGAAATCAGTGTAAACTCATGGTTTCTAGTAGAGATGGATAAATAGATATAGGTTATATATAGATATAAATATGTGTCTGTACATGTATATTTCCTAGCTCTGTCCATTGAGTGGCCTAGAAGTAACGACATCTCATACATTCAGCCATCACAGGCAGGCACTGAAACACAAACCCAGGCCTTCTAACAACACACCGCAGAACTAGAATTTGAACTGGCCTTCCATCTCCAAACCCAGCACTTTTCCTCCCTTAGTTACCTGCCTTCACTGACGAAGTATAATCTGATCGACTCTGCTAGAAGTTGTGGTCACCTGGTCTAGCATCTGAAGAAATAGTCTTACTCTGTAATTCTTCTTTCTGACACTTCTGTTTAGTTAATGAGTGTCTTAATAAAATGCCCCTCACACCTTCAAGTATCCTGTGGAAGGAGGAAGGGACAAAACAAAGGTTTCCACCACATTCACCAGAGAGGAAGCCCTGGGCCCCTGGTGGCCAAGTGAGGAAAGGACACCCAGGGTCCCAGGTCCGGAACCTACATGACAGAGTAAAGATGGGAGAAGGAAAAGTGAAAGGCTTTGAGGGCAGGAAGTTCGTGATCCATTCTAATGTCTCATCAGAAAACTCCTCCAAATCAGCCCTGAACCTAAGCTGCGCCCCAGGCAGATGCCAAATAAGTCGTTAAAATCAAATCAAATCAAAACATTTCTGATTCCTTCTAGTTACAGGTCTTGTGCTAAAACAGAAAGTAGACACAGTTCCTGCCCTTAAAAAGCTCATAATCTTTGGAGTGTGGGAAAACATATAATCAATTCATAATAACATAACACCCTGTGCTGTCCATGCACACGAAGAAAAGGCAACAGAGGCAAGAAGAGGGAAGAGTCTTTACTGAGAAAGCTGTATCTGAGCTAAGCCTTGAAAAATTATCAGGATTTCTGCAGGGGCAACAAGAATGAAGAGGCAGAGGTAACAACTTGCCCCTAGGCACAGAGAAAAATGAGAAGGGAGGATACGCCCAGGGAGCAGTGAATACCCTGGTGAGGCAGGAAAAAATATTTGGGAAGCAGCAGTTCATATTATGAATGTCTCCAGTGTCATGTGAAGTGGACTTCGGTCCAGCATCCAGCACCCTTTCTCCTCCTCTGAGTACGCCCCCAACTCAACCCATGCGCTTCAGGGCGGCTAACCTCACCCCAGCTGAAGGAGAGCCTCCAGGTCTTAAGAAAATTGGAATGATCCCGACATCCTGTGCTTCACCACACTGAGGCTTACCCCTCCCTTTTCCTTCCCCCCTTCCCACCACCCTCACAAATCCCTCCTTCGTTCTGAGCTAGAGGAGAGCAGAGGTTTCCTGTGGAGGTTCTTCCTTCAGCCAATCCTCAGTACCTGTGGTACAAAGTAAGAGTGAGAGAGGAAGACAGGGAGAAGAGGAGAGACAGAGACATGGTGCTCCATCCAGAGAGAGAAAGGCCCACAAAGAGTGTAGAGCAGAGGGAGAGAGCAGCTAAGAGACAGAGAGGGAGAGGGAGGGAGAAAGAGAGAGAGAAACTGAGTCCCAGAGTGAAACAGAGAAAAAGAGACAGCCCTATAGGCTAACTGACCCACAGACCCACAGGCAGAATACCTACTACCTACTCCTCGTGTGCCCTATGGAGAGATTTCCCTAGGGGAACACTCCCAGGCCCTCTCTCTACATTCTTGCTCACACTTGCTTTCCCCTGAGGAGAAGGAACTGCACACGTGAGACAGTCCTTCTGGGTTCTCCCTGTGAGATGTGCCTGCCTGTGGAGAGGGTGCCTCCTCATTGTCCTCAGCTGTGCAGGAAGCTTAGCAGGGCCGACTACACAGCTGCTCCAGTGCCTGGTGGGTGAGTTCCATCCAGGAGTCAGAATTTAAAGGCTCTCTGTAGCTACACATTACTTCCAAACACCTAAGTCACGTCTTCCAACCTACCTTTTAACAGTTCTGGAGCTAGCATTCTGATCCCCACCTACTTGACTCGCATCTCTCTCTCAATGAGTTCCAAACTATGGCAGCAAAGAGGAATGCTTTTACTGGGCCCTCAAAAATCCCAGCAAGACTAACAGAGCAACCAACAGAGAGAGTTAAGACAGAGAGACCAAGAAACAACAAAAGCAAAACTCCATTTACCCATTTTCTGCATGCCTGTGTCTCTACTTCTTGACAAAGAATAAATATAGAACTCAGAAGAAATAAGGGCCTCACCTGTCACTCTGCTTGGTTCCTTTGCTGTCAAAAACAGTGGGAGAGTCTCCCCAGGGCACAACCGCCGTCCAGACGATGCCAAGCCAGTGCCCCACTGGAACACGATGCCACTTGCTTCCCAACGGAGCAGAAGAGAAAAAAGAGAAAATGCTTATCCAGATAAGACCAGATTGTTCTTTGAACTGCACTATATGGGAGACTCTCAATTCATTCTCAGTTAACATGCATATTATGGAGAAGCCTATTGCTTCAAGGGGCCCTATGACTGGTCATAAGGATGACCGCCATGCCAATCACAAGCCCAACTTTCAGGGCAATGGAAGACCATCAAAGAAAATTCCAACATATAAAACTCCCTCCAAAAACTTCCAGGACACTCCTGCAGAGTCAACTAGAATGACACCTTGTTCATGATTAACCTGAAAGGACAACTCGGACTCCAGACCGAGTGGGAAAGAATCTTGAAGATTATCAAGTCCATTCCTCACATTAACTAGATGAGAAAACTGAGCCCTGAAGAGGGCATGTGATTTGTCCAAGGTCAGACAGGGAGCTGGTAGCAGAGAAAATACTGGACTCAGCTCTCCTAACACCTAATGTACTGCCTTTTCTACTATACCAACATGGACTCGGACATTCCTAATTGCCAAATACATACATATTTATGACTGCAAGATAGCTTCTTAATAGCCATTATTTCAGTGGAATGGCCTTTTATTTCCATATCCACTGAAGCTAATTCATGTACCCATGTTCTGAACCTCATATAAATGTGTAGATGAAATTTTATACATTGGGTCTATAGTCAGATGTGTGTAACTACAATCCATCACCCAATGGCAACATTAAGGTTCTGCTCCTCTGGAAGTATCCTATAACCAGTGGTCCTTTAGGCTGTAAACAGTCTAGCCTGCTTTGTGAATTGTAAGTGATGAGCACAATGTGAGCAAAACACAGTGTTGAAATAAAACAAAACTTAACATCTCTTTAACAAATAAATTTCAAGGAAAAAAAGAAAGATGAAAAGGAATTTATAGATTAAAAGAGATGAGATATCTGATAAATAATATTCAGAATTTATAGAGAACTCCTAAAACTCAACAACAACAAAAACAATCTATTTTAAAAATGAGCAAAGGACTTGAATAGACATTTCCCCACAGAAAATAGACAAATGGCCAATAAGTACACAAAAAGATGTTCAACATCACTATCACTAGGGAAGTGCAATCAAAACCACAATGAGAGACCACTTCATACTCATTAGGTTGGCTACTATTAAAAAAAACAAAAAAAACAGAATATAAGTGTTGGTGAGGATGTGGAGACTTTGGAACCCTTGTGCACTATTAGTGGGAATGTAAAATGGTATGGCAGTTCCTCAAAAAATTAAAAATAGAATTACTATATGATCCAGCAATTCTACTTCTGGGTATATTTCCTAAAGAACTGAAAGCAAGATCTCAAAGTGCTATTTGTATACTCATGTTCATAGCAGCATTATTCACAACAGCTAAAACATGGAAGCAACGCAAGTGTCTCTTGGATAAGCAAAACGTGGTATATACATACAATGAAATGTTATTCAGCCTCAAAAAGGAAGGAAATCCTGACATATGCTACAACACGGATAGACCTCGAGGACATTATGCTAAGTAAAATAAGCCACAAAAAGACAAATACTGTATGATCTCACTTATATGAGTTAGCTGTATGAGGGGTGTAGAACGGTGGCTGCCAGGGGCTGCGGAGAGGGTGGAACGGGGAGGGACTCTTTAGCGGATTGAGAGCTTCAGTGCTGCAAGATGAAAAAAGTTCTGAAGATGGACGGTAGTAATGGCGGCACAATAATGTGAATGTACTTACTACCGCTCAACTGCAGGCTTAAAAATGGTTAAGGTGGTAAATTTTATGTGTATTTTATCACAATAACTAAAAGGAATAAATGAATATTTTAAAAGAGAGAGACTTGAGATACATATCAACCAACTGCAATGTGTAGACTAATTCAGATCCTGATTGAAACAAACTGTAAAAAAAATATTTTTGAGACAATCAGGGAAATTTAAACACTGGATATTGGACGAAGTTACAGAATTAATGTTAATTTCTTGTAGGTAAGATGACGGTATTTTCAGAAAAAGTCATTATTTTTTAGAGCTGCATGCAGAAATATTTACAGATTAAATAGGGGAGGGGAGGACTTACAATTAAGTTTATCAAACACATGATGTAAACTGTGCTGCTTTGTAACTGGACAGAAATGTACACATAACTAGCAATTACAGAAATTTCGCAAGAAAGGGGCAAGTTAACCAATGATGGGTAACTCTACAGCCCTGCTAATTTCTAAGAGAAGCTGCAGCTTAAGGAAAGGTAACCGCCACCATACAACTCAGCAATCAATCACACTCCTAAGCATTTATCCCAGAGAAATGAAGATTTATGTCCACATAAAAACTTGTCCACAAATGTTTATGCCTTTATTCTTAATGGTCAAAAACTAGAAACAACCAGATCCTTCAGTGGGTGACTGGTTAAACCAACTGTGGTTGTTACCCACTGTACTGTGTGCCCTGAAAATTCATATGTTGAAGCCTTCACCTCCAAGGTGACTGTATTTGGAGACGGGACCTATAAGGAAGTAACCAAAGTTGAACGGGTCAGAAGAGCAAGGCCTTAATCTGATAGGACTGGTGTCCTTACAAGAGGAAGAGACATCATAGAGGAAAGACTATGTGAGGAGACAGTGAGAAGGCAGCCATCTGCAAGCCAGGAAGAAAGGTTTCACCACAAAGCAACCCTCACAGCATCTTCATCTTGGACTTCTAGCCTCCTTAACTGTGAGAAATAAATTCCTGTTGTTTAAGCCACCCAATCGGTGGTATTTTGTTATGGCAGCCCTACCAAACTAATACAGTGGTATATCTATACAATGGAATACTACTCAGCAATAAAAAGGAACAAATTGGGGCTGGCCCCATGGCCAAGTGGTTAAGTTTGAATGCATTGGAGGCCCCGGGTTTCACTGGTTTGGATCCTGGGCGCAGACATGGCACTGCTCATGAGGCCACACTGAGGCAGTGTCCCACTTGCCACAACTAGAAGGACCCACAACTAAAATATACAACTATGTCCTGGGGGTATTGAGGGAGAAAAAGCAGAAAAAAAAAAGATTGGCAAGAGTTGTTAGTTCAGGTGCCAATCTTACAAAAAAAAAAAAAAGGAACAAATTATTGACACAACTAGGACAAATTGCCAAGGAATCATGCTGAGCAAAACAGCCAAGCCCAGGAGGCTGTGTACTGCATGATACCATTTATATAACATTGTTGAAATGACAACATTATTGTTGGAGAACAGAAGAGTGGTCGCCAGGAGCTAAGAATGGGGTGGGGATAGGTAGGAAGTGGGTGTGGCTATAAAAGAGCGACAAGAGAGATCCTCGTGTGATGAAACTCTTGTATCTTGACTGTATCAAGACATCCTGGTTGTGCTGCTGCGCGGTCGTTTCACAAGATATTACCGTTGGGAGAAACTGGGAAAAGAGTACATGCGATCTCTATTTTATTTCTCATAACTGCAGGTGAATCTACAATCATCTCAAAATAAAAAGTTAAACTTTTTTTTTAAGTATAATCAACACTAAATCCCAGGCGACCATCAGCCCAGCGCTGCACCAGCCTCTTCCTCGCCTCCTCCTCTCTCCCCACTCCACATCTGGACTCGCCAAGCACTTGAGCCTCGGCTGCCACAGCCATCAGAGCTGTCCTTCAGCCCACAGGAGTGGGAGCAGAACAATGAGCCAGGGAGAAAAAGAAGGGTCATCGCTCATCCACACCCACCACCTCCCCACTTTCCACCCTCCACCTTGCACAGCATCAGCCCCACAGCCGTCACCCTCTCATGGTTCAGGAGACAAGCTTATTTGAAGGTTTTAAATTAATAAACGCTAAAATCCACTAGGAAAGCAGTGCAGTTTACAGCAAAGAATGTGGGTCTTGGGCTTGGAATCCAGACCATCCTAGACTCTGACCCCTACCTTTGCTACCTTACTCCCTTGTGTAACCGTGGCCAATGCATCAGCCTCTCCAGACCTCAGTCTCAGTTTCTTCATATGGAGAACTTTAACTCACATCACTGCGCAGTGGTGAGGATTAAATGAGGTATTAATTAAATCAGGAGAACCAAGCACCATGGCTAGAACATAAGAAAGAGCTTAAAACTTCATTTCCTTCCTCCCGCCTCCCACATGACATCTGTGTTAGGTCCCCTCCTTTTAATCAGAACTGCAACCAGCAGGACACTCCAAATTACTCCTTAAAGTTTATTTCTTCCAAAGCTCTGTTTCTCTATGAAAACACTATTTCAAAAAGATACATGCACTCCTATGTTCATTGCAGCATTATTCGCAATAGCCAAGATGTGGAAGCAACCCAAGTACCCATCAACTGAAGAATGGATATAGATGATGTGAGATACATATATAAATATACACGATACATACACTATATATTTATACCCTATATTTATACACTATATACATACACACACACACACACACACACACACACACACACACACACAAATGGAATACTACTCAGTCATAAACAAAAGATGAAATCGTGCCATTTGCAACAACATGGACGGACCCTGAGGGTATTGTACTAAGCAAAATAAGTCTGACAGAGAAAGACAAATACAGTATGATTTTGCTCATATGTGGAAGATAAACAAACAAACAAAAACATAGGTAAGGAGAACTGATTAGTGGCTACCAGAGGGGAAGAGGGTCGGGGAGGGCAAAAGGGGTAAAGAGGCACAAATGTATGGTGACGGATGGAAACTAGACTTGGTGGTGAACACAATGCAGTCTATACAGAAGCTGAAATATAATGATGTACACCTGAAATTTACACAATGTTACAAACCAATGTGGCCTCAATAAAATTTTTTAAAAAGAACTTAAAAAAATTTTTTTTCATAAAGCTCTGTTTCTCCTTATTACATGCCTATTTAAAAAACAAAAGCAAAATGATCACCTGTAGCAGCTAAAGCATGCCTCAGTCCAGCAGCAATACTAACAACCTTCTCTCTCAGGGGCTGTCAAAACAAAGAAAGGGGTAGAGATCTCAGAATCAGCCATCTACAAAATGTTATATAACTCACGCCCAAATCCAAGGCAGCACGGCCCTCATCAGGTGTCTGATTGGTTTAGAGCTCCCAACCCCCAACATTTCCATCCATAAATACTTGTACATGCGTCCCTAAAAGACAAAAGTCTTTTAAAAATACCCCATCACAATGCCTCTCAGGGCTGGGAGGGACCTGCAAGGTCATCCAGCCCAAGGCTGGCAAACATTCTCTGTAAAAGGCCAGATAGACTTTGCAGGCGATACGTCTTCGGTCACTCTACTCTACTCTGCCACCGTAACATAAAAGCAGCCATACACAATAACTACAGAAATGAATGGGCATGGCTGTGTTCCAATAAAACTTTATTTACCAAGGGTTCTAGTTTGCTGAGCTCTAGCTAGTCCACTCTCCATCCAATGCCAGACACCCCTCCATACACCCACCATGTGGTTGTCTAACCCCCCCCAAACACCTACTTCCAGTGACACGGCTCACCACCTCCCCAGGTGCCTGTTCATCTTTGCACAGCTCCATTTATCGCCTTAGGCGAGCCAAACTTCTCTGTCTAGAGTTTCTGACAGTGCTTTCCAAATATGTGAAGACAGTTGTCATGTCCTGTCTCAGACATCTTGTGGTGGTTTTAAAAATAGGTTCTCAGGGCCCTCCCAGTGGCATAGTGGTTAAATATGTGCACTCCACTTAGGCAGCCAGGGGTTTGCCAATTCAGATCCCAGGTGCAGATCTATACACTGCTCATGAAGCCATGCTGTGGCAACATCCCACATACAAAATAGAGGAAGAGTGGCACAGATGTTAGCTCAGCAACAATCTTCCTCAAGCAAAAAGAAAAGAGGAAGATTGGCAACAGATGTTAGCTCAGGGCCAATCTTCCTCACCAAAAAGAAAATAGGTTCTCAAGTTCTTTGAGATTCCTCTCTTCAAGATGTGCCCATTATTCTGCTCCCCTTGAGTGTGGGCTGGACTTAGTGACTTGCTTCTAATGAAGAGGATAAGGAAGTGATGAGCGGCTCAGAGACTAGGTGATAGAAGGCACTGAGGCTTCTTGCTTGACCTCTCTCTCTCCCCCATCACTCTTGGGGGAAGACAGAGGCCATGTCTGAACAGTCCCATAGAGAGGCTCCCCTGGCAAGGAACTGAAGGCGCCTGCCAGGTGAGAGACCGCTGAAGTGGTCCCACCAGCCTGGAGAGCCTCCAGCAGACCTCACACAGCCCCGGCTGACGCCTCAACTGCAACTCATGAGGGACCAGCCACGCTGTTCCCAGATTCCTGACTCTTAGAAACTGTGAGACAATAAACGTTTGTTGTTTTAAGCTGCTAAATTCTGGGGTAATTTATTACACAGCAATAGATAACTAATACATATCTCTTCTTTAGGCCCAACACCCCACTTCCATCAGCTGCCACCTGATTTCAAATTCCCTCCCCCTTCTTGGCTTCCCTCCTCTAAACATGCTCTTGGGACCCAGCCTCTCGCTTTTAAAGGGACTGTATATACGTCAATCACAGCCCCTTTGGGGCTTTACCACATTTGTTTATTTACAGTGTACAGTGTCTTTCTAAACTTTAAGGCCCTCAAGGGCAGGGTCTCAGTCTTCTTCATCTTAATGCCTAGGGCTTACGAACCAAACCCACACCACAACACAACATCCCAGATGTAGCATGACCAGCACAAAGGACAGGGCTCTGGTCTCCCTCCTTCTGGAGACTATACTTCTGTTAATGCAGCCCACAATCATATTAGCTTTGGGAAAGACCAAATCTTACTGCTAATAATAATTTGAACATATTGTCCTTTAAAATTTTTCTTTTTTCAAAAGTAACTGAAGGGCTGTGGTCGGCCTGGTGGCATAGCAGTTAAGTTCGCAGGCTCTGCTTCAGTGGCCCGGGGTTCACCGGTTTGGATCCCAGGAGCAGACCTAAGCACCACTTATCGAGACATGCTGTGGCAGGCATCCCACATATAAAGCGGAAGAAAATGGGCACAGATGTTAGCTCAGGGCCAATCTTACTCAGCAAAAAGAGGACTGGTGGTGGATGTTAGCTCAGGGCTAATCTTCCTCAAAAAAAAAAAAAACGTAACTGAGGGACTTGACATGTGGATTCAATCTCTTCAACACCACTTACCTCCAGCCCTTCCTCTCCATCCCCACTGCTGCTGCTTTAGTTTGGGCCAGAATCATCTCTTTGGATTATCAGCAGGAGTTTCCTGAGTCATCCTCTTTCCCTCCATCCTCCGCACCACCCCATCCCACCCTCTCTAACACAGTGGTCTTAGCGTTTGTCACACTACCTCCCTGCTGCCCGCTCCCCGGTGGCACTTCCACCACTTCCTTGTATTCCAATCACAGTAAACTGCTGCAGTATCCCAAACCCTCCTGTTTTATGCTTCCATGCCTTCGCTTACAGGGTTCCTTCTGTCTGGACTGTGCTGCTTTTGTACCTGCTCTGTGCAACCTACTATCCCAAGCCAGGCAAACTTCTACTCAACTTTCAAGACTCAGCATAAGCCTGTTCTCACCCCCTCTTCCTCTAGAAAGAGTTCAGTACTCCCCCTTTGGGGTGATATATGCATCAACCATAGTTCTAACATGGTGATGCATTTAGGTATTTCCATATCTAACATGTATTACTAAACTACAAGAACTCAAATGCTAGGATTGGATCTTACTCACCTCTGTCCCCACTGCCTAATCACAGCGCCTATACACAATAGTTGCTTTTAAATAAATGAATGAATTTTGTATTATATTTCACTTTGGCGCATTCCTCCCATTGCTCTATAGGATACAGCCTGTCAAAACGCTTTTACCTTCTGATCCTATCATCCAACATATCTTAACTAATGTTCCTCTCTGTCTTCTTTAATCATGTGACTTAAGCTAAATTAATTATAACTCATATGTAGGTTCTTAAAAAGCCATCTATTTGCAATTGGAAGCTGTAACACTTCCTACAACAGAGACTAGAGTCTAGACTTGTGTGCACACCATGTGCTACAGACTGAACATTTGTGTTCTCGTGAAATTCACATGTTGAAACCTAATCCCCAATGTGATGGTATTAAGAGGTGGGGCCTTTGGGAGGTGATTAGGTCATGAGGGCAGAGCCCTTAAGAAAGGGATGGATGCCCTTATAAAAGAGACCCCAGAGAGTGCCTTTGCCCCTTCTGACATGTAAGGATACAGCAAAAAGACAGCACTCTATGAACTAGGAAGCTGGCCCTCACCAAATCTGCTGGTGCCTTGATCTTGGACTTCCCAGCCTCCAGAACTGTGAGAAATAAATGTGTGTTGTTTAAGCCGCCCAGTCTTTGGTATTTTTGTTTGAACAGCCCAAAGGGACTAAAACCCCACGGAAATCACGACCCCAAATAATACCCCACAGATCAAGTGGAATTCAGCAAGATGAGAGGAACAGACACAAGCTCTTTCCAATGAAAACAGAGCTCCCACTATTAGTCAGAGTTTAAGGAAATCAGAGATGAGTGGAGCAGCTTAGGTGGTGGAACTCATTTTAGATTCCAGCATAATTTCTTTAAAAATTCACTTACAACATAATCCTCACAAATGTGTACATTTTAAGTATGAGTGAAAGTATCAGTGAAAGAGCTCTGAAATCGGGCCAGGAGTCCTATCTGACACTCGTGCTGTTCAACATGGTAGCCTCTAACTACGTGTGGCTACAGAGCACTGGAAACGTGACTAGACTGAAGTGAGAGACAGTGCAAGGAAAAAGGGAACACCAGAACTCAAAGACTTAGTATAAAATATAGAAATATAAAGTAGCTCATTAACAAAGTTTTATATTGGTGGCGTATAAAATGAAATAATAGTTTGGATACATTGGATTAGTTTAAAAATTATTAAAATTAATTTCATCTACATGCCACGACATGGATGAAACTTGAAAACATCACGTGAAGCGAAAGAAGCCAGACAAAAAAGGCCACACACTGCATAATTCTATTTATATAAAATGTCCAGAATAGGCAAATCCATAGAGACAGAGTAGCAGTTGCCAGGGGCTGGGGGAGGAGAGAATGGGAAGTGACTGCTATCGGGTACGCAGTGATGAAAATGTTCTAAAATTAGATAATGGTGACTGGCTGTACATCTCCATGAATATGCTAAAAACCACTGAATTATAAATTTTTAAAAGGTAAATTTTATGGTACATGAATTACATCTCAATAAAGCTATTGTTTTAAAACTTAGTTTTACCTGTTTCTTTTTACTTTTCTAAATAGTGCTACTAGAAAATTTTAAATTACACATGTGGCTCACATTATATTTCTACAGGACAGCACTGGCCTACACCATTTACCTGGCTTGGTTTCTTCAGGCAAGTCACTTCTATCTGGACCTGTTTCTAACATAGTTCCCACTAACACTAATTTTAGAATTGTAAAATGCCATTAATGTCTTTATAAGATACATTATCTGTATTGTTTTACTTCACAAAGAGTTACATGTCTGAGAACTAACAGAGGTTTTTCATTCATAAGATCCATCCTCTCAACCTAATTTTTCCCAGAAGAACTTGAGTTTTTCAACTTAAATTCTAACTCCCTCACTTGTGTTCAGGGACCCAGCCAGCCTTTGGTCTGCGGAGGAATAACTCTAATACCCTGGAAACGCTTTAACAGGACACAGGCAAGCTAAAGATTAGGTGCCGTCCTTACCTCAATGGCCTGGGGAACCACACATCTTCGAGGCCCATGAGGAACTCCTAATTGGCCAAAGGAGTTGGATCCACATGACAGAACTTGACCATTTCCTGCAAAATACAAATATTTAAATCACAGACCTCAGAAGTAAGATATCTGTGACCAGTGGGCAAATGCTGAGGGATGACAAGAGCACAGGGAGTGAGAGGAGCAAGCGGGGCCCTGGGCTTCAGCACATTCAAACCACAGTCCTTGCTTTTACCCCTCTAGGAGTAAAAACAGTGGGCACAGGGCTGCTTCACGCCGACTCTCCAGTACACCACCCAATGAACGGCAGAGGAGCTGTGCAGAACGTTCAGCCCAGGGCCTGGTGTTGGGAGCAGAAGATACTTATCTCCCACTTTTCAGGTCTCCATGTGATGGAATTTCCAGGCCTTTCTCCCTGCCCTTCCCCATACTCACTGCTTTCCGGAGGATGGGGCGGGGCGGGGGGGGGGGGGGCAGCAAGTAACCTAGCCAATTGCTGAGTTTGGGAGAAGGAACAGGACACGTGTGGTTTAGCACCTTCTTCTCAGGCACTCTGGGCTGACATATGGTAAACGTTTCCCCTTAGGAAGTCCCAGAGTTTGGGGAGTAGGCTTGGATCAGGGGAGTGTTAGCAGAACCACTTGGCCTGACACTTAACCCAGGTCTCCAACCTAGCTTTTATCAGTAAAAACCCAGCAGTGCGATCTCCACCTATGTGACTGCTCTGCATCTTTCTCAGGACCGGTTCCCAAGATGAGCAGGAAACAGCGTTATCTGCTCACTCCCTGCAACTTCCCCAGAGGCCCACACTGAGCACTTCATAAACGAGAGCTGTTATTCAGATTCTAATAATTACTACCAAATTCAACACACATGATGGAACGCTCTGCAGAAGAGAGACGGTGACACCTGAGCAGGGTTCTAAAGACGGGATAAGAGCTGAGGGGCTGTTCCAGACAGAGAGCAGCACGGACTGCTTGGTCTCACTAGAAAGAAAGTATGAGGAGTGTGGAGAACAAAAGGCAAGGCAACCACAGGGACTGGTGGGAAGAGCACCTGGAGGCCATATGCTTAAACACTTGGGGTCTGAGCTATGCCCGTGAGAATCCACAGGGGTTTGGGGCAGGGGTGACATGGTCAGAAGATGCCCTTGCAAGAGGACTGTGACAAAGAGGAAGCCCAGTCAGAACTCTAGATGGTCCTTTCAATCCAGGATGGCAAGCTAGACAGGGCAAAGCTGAACAGAAAGGTCAAAACGGCTTCCAGGGAGAAATGAGCTGACAAAGTACCTATTGCCAGCTGCTCCCAAGAGCATTATCCTATCAGCCCTTTGCCCATAACCCTCTACATCCTATTCTGCTATCTGGCTTCGCAGAGACTGAACAGTTCTGCCCAGCCATGTTTATTTATGTTTTTTTTTAATTCCTCTTTGGGCAAAAGCTGCCATTATTGTTTTGGCAGCCTCTGATTTCCTCATACAACCCACCACAATGCCCCGTAAGCAACCCTTAGCTGGCAGTAGTGGCTGGCAAGCCCAGACACACAGCTAACATGAACTTCTGGGACAGAAAGTAGCCACTGAAAGTGATCTAGATCATTCCCCAGTCTCTGGCAAAAGTTTTCCAGCCCAAAGCTTTACTGTTAAAGCTCTGCTTGACAAGCAGAGAGAACATTTGCATGTGTTTTTAAACCCAGACAGACTTTCATTCAGTAAGCATCCCCACCACCACGTTTTTCTCACCCAAAGCCTTTGAGGTGATAAAGACTTACTTAGGAGTCAACTCACCTGTGAGTATAATAGTGAAATCCCAGCCACAGGCCACCTGTTGGATGGGACAGCCAAGGAGGGATCTGCAGGGGGTAAAATACAGGACATCCTCCGTGTGACCAAGCCCCAGCTGCCCATCTTTGTTCAGGCCACAAACAAAAAGGCTTCCTCCATCTGCAAAAGATAAAGCTTTGGTGATAGCGTGCATAGGAGAAATTACAACTGCCAGAGGGAGCAAAAGAATTTCACTAATTATTTGGAGTCACAGACTCATAACTTTTTCCCCCTCACGTTAATCAGCCATGCATATTAATGTGCTCTGGACCAAATGGCACAGGGCCAAGGGGTTCAAATCTAATATCTAAATGGAAACTCCAAGTCCTACAGCAGTGGCCAATCAATCACCAAATTGAGCGTCTACTGGAACAATAAAAGCCACCATCAAACAGTAGAATGTGCCAAGTACTGTTCTAAGAGCTGGATGTGTGGGGCTGACTATCCTTTAGGCACAGTGCCCAGGGCCCACAATACTTTTAGAGGCCCACAAAAATGTTTTCATTTTAAATTCTTTTAAAATAAGAAAAAATAAATGTAACAAAATGATATCTAATACTAAATCTAGCCTGAATTATATTAATCTTTATATCAATGCAGTTGTAAAATATAATCTTAAATATTTCTTCATAGAGGAAAGAGTCCACAAAGGCAAAAGTGCCAAGGACCCACAAAAGTCATACTGCAGCCCTTTAACTCTGATTCTGCTCATCCACCATTATTAGCCCCGTGGAACAGAGAGGAAACTTGTGGCACAGAGAAATTAAGTAATTTGCCCAAGGCCACACAGCAAATCAATAACAGAACCAGGATTTGAACCCAGGCAGTTTGATTCCAGAGCTCATGTTCTTCACCAGGATGCAATATGCCCTCTTTTGCAATTTGACAGCACTTGTCGAACTTGTTAAGTACTATCCTAGGTATTGTGAGGGAAGATTAAGGAAAATACAAAGTTCTTGCTCTCAAGAAATATTCAATCTAATTGCAAAGACTTCTAACTCATGTGTGAAAGTTAAATAGCAATATATGGTATAAAATGTGATACATGTCGCAACTCTGCCACTAATTTGTCTTGTAATCTTAAGCAGTCAGTTATCCTCTCTGAACCTCATTTATATGAAGTCCTTTCAGCTCTGACAATCTAGGATTCTCTGACGGTAACTTGGCTCCATCACAAAAATGTTTTCCTCTGCAAAATACAAAAGGCTGAAAGATGGCAACATGACCCCTAAGGGAAAATGTTTAAATAAGAAAATTAGGGGCTCTATACTCCTGAAGGAAGTTACCTGTGACCACAGCAGAGTGGCCCCCTCCTCCCGTGATCCTCCTGACACACCCGGGTTTACAGAAGTCATTCAGTTGCTGGGGCAAAAGCACATCTTCCTTATGGCCAAGGCCAAGCTGTCCATAGCTGTTTGCACCCTACGGATAAAATAAGCCAAGGATAAAAAAGTATGGGAACCCTAACTGCCAGTGTGTACTTACCTGTCTCTATCCTTCTCACCCTGACACACCTCTCAGAGCCTATAACAGATGGGATTTCACAGGCTCATTTTAAGAGGCTGTTATACGAAACCCATACTTAGGTGGTGGCCCCACCCCCATGACACCACCATTTCCATGTGAGAGGAGCCCTTAGCATCCACAGCTTATCCAAAGATACTCCTCACCTTCCCCTTCCAATGCCCAGGCCCCCTGTGTTGCCTTTGGGGGACAGCATGGGAGTTCCTTCTGATAAAAGCTAATTATCTAGAGAGACTAAGGAAAGAAAGAAGGAGGGGAAATGGGAATGAAGCGGGTGGGAAATGCCCTGGGAACAGATCTTGTCCCTTCTCCCCACACACTCACTGGGGAAACTGCAACATCTTTCTCTAATCAAAGGAGCTTAGGATTTTGTGCCCTCACGCAGGGCACATCGTTGTTATTCCATTTGTACAAAGAGGCTGGCAATGATCTCTAAGGCCCTTTCCAAGTACAACGTTTTGTGACTCCAAGATTCACATGCTGAGATTCCTGTAAGGGAACAGATTTCCCCTTGGTGGGCAATATGTCTATCATTGTTATTACACAATAAAGGTCCAGAATCCCTAATCCAAAACCCTTGCAGCCAGATGTATTTCAGGTTCAGAATTTTATAGACTTAAGAATAGTAATACCGTATATAAATCATGTATACTGCTGCAAGGTCCGGGAGCAGCACTTATAAGCAAAACTATTATTTCTGCAGTAAAAGTTACAAATACAGTAAGTGGGCAAAGACTATAAAGAGCCTTATGTCAGGTCAGTTTTGGGTTTCCAGAGCTTTTTGTATTCAAATTTGGAGATAAAGGATTGTGGACCCTGCAGGAAGAATCTTATTGAGATTTCAGACATCCTTATAATTTATCCAAGTGTCTACTCCTGGCTGGTTCTTCCTAAAGATGAGTAGCAAAACCTTTAAAACGTCTTCATGTTTTAAGACACCTGAATAAGGAAAAGTGATTTAAAACCACTACAAAAAATACATACATACACATACATACATACATGCAAACTCCTATCCCTTGTGGTCTATTCCACAGCCATCCTAGCGAAAGGTCTCCAAGGGAAGAGCAAACCAGGGCAGGGGCACAGGTCCCAGAGGCCCTCAGAAGCAATATTAGCTACCAGTTACTGAGTGCTTCTCCATGGGGTAAGCATTCACCCTTAATCCTCACAAAAATGGAAGAGATGGGCATTATCACTCTCATTTCACAGATGAAGAAACTAAGGCTCAGAGAGATTAAGAAACTTTCCATAGTCACACAGCTGGGTAGGCAACAAGTTAGATACCCCGTTCCTTTCATTACACCATACTGTGTCTCTAAGAAAAAAGAAAAAACAGGATAGTGAGACAGACAAGGTTTACCTGGCAGGAGGCTGAATGTACGACCCCATCACTTTATCCCCTTTTTCTGCTTTATTTTTCTTCATGGCACTCCTGACATTACATATTTGTTTACTTATTTACCATCTACCTCCCCCTCTCCAAAAAGTAAACTCCGTGAGGGCAGGAACTTTGTTTTGCTCACTGCTATTTCTCCTGCATCTGAAACTGTGCTGACCCAGAGAAGGTGTGCATATATTTTATAGCGAATGACTGTAAGACCCTATGAGTCCCTACCTAAGAAAGATCAATGGAGTGTAAATGCAAAGGATTTCTCTGTCAGCCCTGAGACCTCTGTGGCTGCCCCACTACCAGGACTGCAGGCTGCCAAACAGAAAGTAAGGGAAGACACAGGCATTCTGGGATTCAAAGTATGGCACTCAATTTTTGTAATGCAGCAAGAGGCCCTAAATCCAGGATAAAGCAAAACGAAGGAAAATTTAATACTGCATATGGCCGACCACTCTATTTGCCTCCCTTCCTTACAAACACTCCAGACACCCCTCCGCCCCGGACACACATATCCCTTCAAGAAGGTAAATCCCCTGTTATGGACTGAATTGTGTTCCCCTACAACTAATCTGTTGAAGCCCTAACCTCCAGTACCTCAGAATGTGACTATATTTGAACATAGAGCCTTTAAAAAGGTAATTACGGTTAAATGAGACCATACAGGTGGGTCCCTAATCCAGGACGACTGGTATCATTTTAAGAAGAGACACCAGATGCTCTTACACAGAGAAAAAGCCACATGAGGACACAGAGAGAAGCAGCCTCTGCAAGCCAAAGAAAGAGGCCTCAGAAGAAACTAAACCTGCTGACACCTTGATCTTGGACTTCTGGCCTCCAGAACTACGAGAAAATAAATTGCCCCTGTTGAAGCCTCTCAGTCTGTGGTCTTTTGTTATGGCAGCCTTAGCAGACTAACACACGCCTCCCCGAAGATCATGCAGCAGGAAGAACACACCAGCAGGCCCCTAAACACAGCAGTGGTGTTAGGTTCAACAACATCTCTGTTTCACGGGGACAAGGTCATAGCTGACACACAGACCCCAGTCTCCTGCCAGGAAAACGCCAGAGACAGCCGCCCACCCCAGGCACACATTCACTCCCCAACTCCACCCCCAGTTCAAGCGCCACCCCAAAGATACTCAGCCAGCCAGCCTCCCTCAGGCCACACCACGCTCTCCCTTCTGCCAGTCTGCAGCCTGACATTCAACAAGTTCTGCCTGGTACTGATAATCACCTTTTTAAAAATTAATCAATACATACTGGTTTTAACTGCACTATAGATGTTATCCCTCTCCCGACACAAGAGCTGGAAGTCTTTCACTCTTGCGTTGTTCCCAGACCAACACACAGCTCAGCACACACAGGTATTCACTCACTAGCCAACAAGTATTTACTGAGCACCCTACAACGTGCCTGGCACCCTGAGCAAGCCAGGCACAAAACCCACCCTTAGGACGCTTACGTTCCAGCCAAGCAGACTGACTGGAACAAATACATATTTCATTACAGTTGTGATACGTGCTAGGAAGAACTAGGAGACACTCGGTTTGCTTGTTCTCGAGCAGCTGATCGGATGCCTGCCACACACTCCTGGGCAGACACCCACCCCCCCATCCCCCGACACATAAAGATGACCGTCTCTCGGTGCTCCTGTCAAACCACACCAGCGCAGACCCCCCCACGCCCCCAATACAGGTAAGATCCGGTCACAGCTGAATATCCGCAAATGTGCAGGGTCTCCGCCTCGTGCACGGTCGAACACCGCAGGCCTCACATCAGAGGATGCTCCCGCCAGGCAGGGGTGGGGCTGGGGAAGGGCCTGCAGCCTCCGGCCAAACGGTGGGTGGAGCACAGGTGGCCCCACGGGGCTCAGACGGGGCGGTCCTCTCCCTGCAGAGCCCTCCACGCTGTCTCCCCGGCGCTATCCAGGCCCGAGGGCTCCCGCCGAACCCGACGCTCGGCCAGGAGTCAGGTTCTTCCCGCGGCGCCGCAGCCCCTCGGGTCGGGACCCCTCCACAGCAGGCCCCTAAGTCCCCCCGCGAAAGCCCTTCCCTCCCCGCCCTCTCCGCCTCAGCCCCCACACGGGATCCTCCAGCCTAGGCCGGCTCGGCCTCTGCCGCCCGCCAAGCCCCAGCCCCCGCCCCAGCCCGCCCACGCCGAGGCCGGGAGCGCCCAGCCCCCGAGCGCCCCTCCGTCCCAGTGCCCCGGCCGGGGGCGGAGTCACGTACCCAAGCGAAGAGCGCGGCCGCCGCAGGGCCGGCCTCTGAGGCGCGCGGCTCGCGCTCCATGCGGGACGCTCCGCCGGCGCTTCCGGGAGGGGCTGGCGCGGGGAGGGGGCCACCGGGGGAGGGGCCCGACGGGGGAGGGGTCTGGGGAGGGGGAGGAGTCCGTGGTGGAGGAGGAGCCCCATGGGGGAGGAGTCTGTGGTGGAGGAGGGGCCTGACGGGGGAAGGGTCGGGGAGGAGGTGGTGTCTGTGGTGGAGGAGGGGCCCGCCGGGGCAGGGGTCTGTGGTGGAGGAGGGGCCTGACGGGGGAGGGGTCTGTGGGGAAGGAGGGGCCCGCGGAGGGAGGAGCCCGCCGGGGGAGGGGCCCGCCGGGGGAGGGGTCGGGAGGGAGGGAGGGGCCCGACGGGGGAGGGGTCTGTGGGGAGGGAATACCCGCCGGGGGAGGAGCCCGACGGGGGTGGGGCCTGTGGGGGCGGGGTGGCCGGGGGCGGGGTGGCCAGGAGCGCGGTGGCCGCCTGCAGCCGCCTGGCCCGGGCGCGGTCTTAGCGTGTCCGCCAGAGGCCTCCTTGTCTCGCAGCGTGGGTCTGCCACTCTCTGCCTCCCCTGGCGCTCTTTATTTTTAGTAATGATTCTGTAGGGGTGCGTTACGCTCCTTCATGTTTTTGTCTCCTTGGTGTCCCACGACAGCCCAGAGAGGCTGGGATTGTATCGCTATTTGATGGGGAAGAAATTGAGCCCGGGGGGGAGTGGAAGGGGTCCTGCCCCCGCGTCTTAGGCCGAACTGTCTTTGGGCCTGCTTTGGTGTGGGTTTGCGAAATCCAAGGGAGCTTCTCGGTAGGCGCGTGTAGTGTCTTCCTACACTGTAGCGGTCTCGCCTTCAGCTCCTGGCACGGAGCGGGAATTTACACCCCGGGGCGCTGAATGGAGGAGGCTGGTTCTCGCGGATTCCTGCCGGGGCGGCCTTCTAACCCTCAGCGCTCCGAGCATGCCCCTGCCCTGATTCTGATCATCAATACAGGGTAATTTTCACCCAACAGAGATTTTCATATAAAATGGTTTTTATCAGACACCCTCATACGCTGCTTGTGGGAGCTAAATACAGTCTTCCTGAAGGGAAATGTGGCAATGCGTATTAGGAAAATGAAGATAGATATTTACCCGGTAATTCCACTTCTGTTAATTTATCGCAAGAAAATAATCAGAGCTGTGCACAAAGTCTTAGACTGCAAGTTATTCATTATAGGGTTATATATAATAGGAAAGAACTTATTACCTGAAAGTCCAAAAATAAACTGATTAAATTATGGCATAGCCATGCAATGGAATACTAGGCTCCCATTAAAAGATGTTTTGGGAGATATTAAACAAGGAGAAAATGTTCATGATATTTCATTAAAGTAAGTATTATACTAGTTTTCCATACACACACACACATATACTCCAGGTAGTGGATTACAAGTGATTTTTATTTTCTTTTTTGTCCTTTTTTGTACATAACGCATATTTTCCAAGTCACACATTATCTTGTGGGTACAAGTGGGGTCACATCCAAGATGATAATCCACATTCACTAGTACTTGACCCCTCTGCTGACACAAGTACTCATCACCCTTTATGCCTGGGGGCCCTGGAAAGTGTTTCTGGTGAGCACTTGACACAGTTCTTTCCTTTTTTTTCACTCCACCCATTCCTTGGTGTCTCTGCCTAAAAGACCACTTGAGGGCAGCACCTCACCTTTACCTCTCCTGCCTGTGACATCTTGAGAACATCAGTGCCCATGCCAAGAAAAATGTAAACTTGAGCGAGGCAAAGCAGCTCTTTGTTCTCGAGAGACCTTGATGTGCAAAAACTATACCATGATTGCTGATGGTTTTGTAAGAGCGTTCTGAGCATTCCTTAAAGCATGTGTACTAGAATGTAAAAATCAGACCCTTCCCGTCTCAGTTTTGGCTGAGACTCCAAGGCAATAAGTGCCAATTACTCCCCCATTATTAAGTGATGTACAAGACCACCAAAGCAGAACTTGTGAAGGAGGTCTCTAGAAACCAGTGTATGACTTCCAGTCCATGAAAGAGGTTAGAGAGGCTGAGAGAGAATTCTGTTTGGATATGTGGTGTTAGTTGTCAATGTGCAGTGAGTCCTGCCCTCCTCATGTCTAAGGAGAGGCATGCCTCAGAGGGCCACTAAGTGAACTTGGTATGTATCCCTCCAGACTGGGGCCTGGGCAGGCTGCTGTCCAATTTGTGCTGAGAAATCCAATGGCTTGTGGCCAGATAAGTGACACCCACAAGAGAGTTGGCCAATACATTCCTAGAGGCTGAGGGAGATGAATTCAACAGCCCAGTCAGAGAGGTACCCACATCAAGAGATCCCGAGGAATAAGAAGTAGGAAGGTCTTCCAAAACACCCACAGAGAATGAGAGTCAGCCTTATACTTACCAAGGACAGGAAGCACATACGCCAACTCACACAGTATCAGAACAAAAAGAACTTTCTACTCCTTACCGTCCCCTCCCCACCACCATTCCCAAACCCTGGAGGAGCCAGAGGCATCCTAGAGACTGAGGAAGGAGGAGCAAGAACATAAGAAGCTAACTAAGCACACCCCTTCCTTTCTCGATTCCAGAGAAGAAAAACTTTAACATTACATAAAGTTCGATGTTTTGAACTTTTACACAAGACTGGACTTTTAAAATACTGAAATGAGACAGTGAGTGCGTGTGTGTATGTGTGTGTGAAAGAGAGAGACAGAGAGAGATTAGAAGCTAAGGACTGGGAACGAGCAGAAACTTCAAGGCAGGGACCTGAGATTTCAACCAAAGGGGCAAGGAGTACGCAGAGTCCCCAGAGTCAGTTCTAATAGAGAGAGGGTCTAGAAGAGTTCAGTCATTTCCCAACTTGAATTCCTCTTGAATGCGCATGCATCAATACTTCAGCTAACTTACAGTTATATCCCTTAATACAATTTCTTGGAAGCACTGAGATGTTTCAACTGTTTCAACTATGTACATGCCGCTGACTAACTCTCCCTGGTTGAGTTGCAGCTCTTGAACTGGGCTAGCCTTAAACTATTTAATAGTCATCTATAATAATAGTGTCACTTTCAGATGCCTTATCTCCCCACAGGAGGAAAATATAAAGTATCTGGCCGTACACACTATACCTCTGTAGCATACAGGTTAGGAAATTTTTTTCCATTAGATTATCTTGTTTGATCCTCTCAATATTATTGGTACGCTAAGTACTGTTAGGATCATTATTTCATAGATGAGAAAACTGAGGCTCAAAGAAGTTAAATGATTTACTTCAAGGTCAGATTTTTGTTGTGATAAAGGCAGATTAGCTAGCTCCAGACCACTTCCCTCACCAAAAACAACTAGAAAAACTGGGGGAACACATTTTAAAAATCTGTTTCAAGTCATTGGAGAGCTGTCAAAGCAGCCAGAACTTGAAGGGCCAAGATCTTGAAGCTGAGAGATTATATTTGGCATAACTTTTCTGCTTGAAGCATTTGTGCTAATTAGCAAGCAGTGACTTGGAGGCTAAGAAACTGGGCTGAAAGCAGCAACTGAGAAACTGAGAAATTGAACAGTACTTTTAGCAATCCTATGGGGGAGGCAGATGAGCGCGAAGGAGGGGACAAAAGTAGGAGCCCAGGGTTCCCAAGGAGAAGCGCTGGTCCACACCCATAGCTTTCCTTTGGGGTCTCCAAAGGACTGCACCTTAGTAGTAGAAGCAACCTGGAAATAGACCAGCCCTCACAAAGACTGAGCTCAGCTCCAATTGCCTTGATTCCTGGTTGGACTAAGGAGATCTTCCCATGCCTTTATATACTGCCTGCTAGAAGCAAAAGTGAATTCCCTCTGGAGAAAGATAAAATCATCCAGAAGCTATGGGGGACCTCTGATTAGGAGAGTGATTATACTAAAGATTCTTTACATATGACAATAAGTTTCTTTTACAAAGTCCTCTCATAACAGAATTCCTCAATAACCCAGGGAAGTAGATTTAGCTCATGTTACAGATGAGGAACATGAGATAGACTTCATCAAGAATTCTGAAAAGTGGTTACTCTAGGTTCCAGGTTTGGCTTCCCTTATATCTCATATTCATAGGCTTTTTAAGAAGTGTAAGGATGTTATAGATTCCTTAAACCAATAAAATTGCTAACATATATTTAAATTAGTTTTTAACATTTGTTTGACAAAAAATAAATGCTTGTTGAGAAGATGAATTTTGTGCTAATTTATTATCCAGTTGAATAACAAACTTACAAATCATAAATGTATGTTATATAGTAAAATAAAGACTAGACTGAAATAGACCACAGTATCTTGATACATGTCCTAGAAATTAATGTATGAACTCTATTATATGTTCCCTTAGAGAAATCCAGAATTTTTTCTTTTTTCAACTTGGGAGCCAACTTAAAAATTAACTATAATTCTGTACATTTTGGTGTGTCGTTACTACTGTATAACTCTGAATGACAAAATAGGCAGATTAAGAAATGTAGGCATTCTGATGACCAACATTTCGAGCTTTCTTCAAAAAGTCAGGAAAACACCATCTATATCTTTGAGTAATAACTCACTGATTAAGAATTATGAACCAAATTTTTGGTTCAGTTCTGTTCTCATATTTGAATAACTGTTAACATATTCCTAGATGCTTTGCAGATATATACGTAAAATGTATGAAAATTCTAAGACTCTCAGGATTCCTGATTTACTAAATATCACAAATCCAGAGGTTAGAAGAAAGAACTGAAATCAATCATTAAATATTTCCATTATTCTGAAGTTGTGAATTATAACTGTTGTGCCTTAACATTATTTCAGTGTGCTTTAGTCATAGAGTGATTTTAAATACCATTAGTATAAACTTCAACAACTATGATTCTTTACCATGATCAAAGTTGTATGAAAGTAACCACATACAGTATGCATAATTTGCTGTTATTTGCTATCATGGTTTGCTTATAATAGATTTCCTTGCAACAAAATATGCTAACTATAAACCAGCTAATCAATATTTCAAGTGATTTTAGATTAGCTGACTTGGATCTGTTACCATCAAAGGTATACTTAACAGTCGGTCAGCTATTAAAATTTATAAGTAATGTGTAAATCCAAAATAGCATGAATTACTCTTCCCAATTCTAGTTCCTTGTATAACAAAGTGAAATAAATTCTTTTAAAGTTTTTAATAATTTCTTTTGAGGTCTAAAAAGTATTAAAAGATCTAGTGATCTGATGTGAAATAAAACATGTTAAATGGTATGTAATGCGACTATTAATGTGAAAAAAAATAAGGACACAATTCTTCAAGTAGCTGATTAAGACTGGAAAATTAACTTAAAATGTGACTTTGAATGTACCATTAAGAAATAAGATCACTGGGAGAGGAAGCTGACGGGGTATAATATTCAGGTGATTCTGAGTTCCATTTAAACCTGTTGAGTTTCAGATACTTGACAGGGCTGCTGTGTTACACAATCCCATTTCATTCTGCATGAATGGTACTACAAGGAGTTGTACAACGTTGGCCTAACGAATAGGACATCTAGATGAAAATATCCAACAGCCAGCTGGAATTAACAGGCAAAAATTCAAGAAATATGTCAGAGTTAGCACTGCAAATATGGGAGTCATCTGAAATAAGAATTGAAGTCGTGGACATGAATGACATTTCTCATGAAGAGATGGCAGAGAGAGGAGGGCCAAAGACAGAAATTTGAGGAAAGTCTTCCTTTAGTGGGTAGGGGGAGAAAAGGAGCAAAATAAAGAGACCCAGCATGTATTTGAGAGTTCAGCTTCACTCATTTATATCAAGCCTGTACTACAGCACCATCAGTACTCCCTGAAATATACAGACGACATAACCAATCCTTGCAACCCCTTGCATTATTACAGTGATGGGTCTGAAATGGTCTTCTTGGTCTTTCTTACATTCCACTTCTTCTTTATTTCCTCACCCTCTACCCTCATGACTTGCCTTCCTATTTACAGTCTCACCTTATACCTTGGAAATAAAGTACTTGACGCTGCTTTTCCACCTTTAACTTTGTGCTTCTCTCTTGTCTTTCAGTTTGAACTCTCCTTTTGGCAGTGCTGTCTCCTGCTAACCAGAGGACAATCTCATCACGATACATGGGCCTTGCAAGTGGCACCCCCACCAAGTTCCCCTTGGCCCCACGAGTAGGACAGATAATCTAAAACAAACCAGCATGATGCAATGCCATAGACAGGAAAAAGAGTTTCAAGGAAGACAGTCACTTGGAAGGGACTCCCTAGTGGCTACAAAAAAAAGTCCCAAATTCTTAGCCTGATCTCAAGGATTATACCCCAATCAACCTTTCCAGACTTTGCCGCTACTATTTTCCTGCAGGAAACTACACCTGAACTAGACTACTTGCTCTTTACTGGGTATGTTTCGTGTGCAAAGGCCTCTACACTTTGCTCATGCTACCAGAGGAGACAGTTGGGCTACTAAATTTAGGCATATGAATGGGACCAAGCTTGGCACAAATTCATCGATAAGTAAGACACTTCAGAAATAAGAGGATCTTAGATAACAATATGAATCAGCTCCATAATACCCCATTAAGATACTTCAAATGATTATAAATGTCATTTTGCCAAGAAGGATTGAGGAAAATAGAATCAGGCTGGGACTAGATCTATCCATTGGGTCAAACAAGTTCTCTATGAAAAGCAAGTGGTCAATGAATTGTATGGTATGTGAATCATATTTCACTAAAGATGTTAGAAAAAGAATAAGTTGTAGCTAGAGTATCCAGGTACAAATTTTCAAAGACTAATGATCCATGAAGAGATGGGAATAGAGAACATTGTTTGGCTGCAGTCCCCCCACAACCAGCTCTTCAAGAAAAGCAAGAGTTGGCCCACAGGCCTCTGAATTGATGCTCAGCTGCTCTCAGGATTAGGACTGGCGACATCAGATGCTCAGCTGCCTGCCGACCTTAGCAAGGGCATCACTGACAACATCGAGGTCATGCTGAAGCTCGGTCATGGCGCTGGTTATGCTCTTGGTGTCTTTCAAGATCTGAATACTTCGTGTATATGGATTATACTTCACTCCAAATGGACGCTTAATTGTTTTGGTAAATTCTCTGTTTAAGAAAACAAATGAGAGGCGATCAATTTCTAGGGGGAAAATGATGAAAATTAAATAACAGCAAAACTATTTCACACACTAGGCAAAAGACAAATCTCATTAGCTATTCGTGCAACCAATCTGAGCTACTTCCCTACGCTGCATGTGCAGAGGCCCCCTGGAATCCCACACGGGTAGGAAATCGAAAGTAGACATGGATACATCTGCCCCTGTATTACTGGGGAAAGATCCTGTGGATGGCTTTAGTAACCATTCATTACTTTATACAGTAAGGAGACCAACTACAGTAGCTTTATCAGTAGACAGTGACAATAATTGACACAGACCCCTCAGTTGTGATTTACATAACTACACCTACACACACACACACACACACACACACACAGACACTGAAACAGGCCAAGAACAGTCCTGCCTCCTACCCACATACATTCTGTTTAGAATGTTTTCCTCTAGACTTCTCTCAAATGACCTAAATTCTACCCTTTCTTCAAGCATTAAAGTTGTGCCTTCTTTAGCCAACATTTGAACCTCTCGTTTGGCACCCCCAAGAACAATTGTGTTCAGGACCTTTAAGGACACAGCTGAGGACAACTGTACATGAGTAGGGGTTGAAATCCAGCTTGCAATACACCTGGTCAACCCAGGGGGACCTCTCCTTCTATTTTGCATGAAGGTGCCATATGTGCTAGAAGGAGCCCTGCTGGGATTGTTATTTCATTCTGTGCATAGCCCAACTCCTCAACTAAGGGAAAACCCCAGAAGACAAGGAATATGTCTTCAACCCCATCTATCTCCATCATCACAATGTGGCATCATAAGCCCTCCACCAATTGTTCTGTTGATTCTGCTCCTATAGTCCTTTCCTTTCCTATACCTCTCTCTTTAAAGAGTTCAGGCTTTTATTTACACCTGAAGTATTGCAAGAATCTCCTAAGCAGTTTCTCTGCCTCCAATATCCTTTCTTAACAACACACTTAGCTGATTGATAATTAAAGCAGCTTTGAATGCCTCACACATATCTCCTATATTTTTCTACCTCCTTACCTTTCTTATGCTGTCCTTTGGCCAAAAAATCAACATATCTAAATCCTATCTATCCTTCAAATCCTTTCTCAAATGCCATTAAGCTTTACCTGTTCCCCTAGCTGGAATAAATTGCTCCTGAATAAGTGCAGAACAATGTTTCATTGTGTGTAGTTTATTTTTCTTTTAGATTACAAACTCTGATGGGAAGAAAAGCAACTTGTCAATGTATCTGATTCATATTTGCAACTACCGAGCATCATAATAAACAACATACTCTAAATATTTGTTATGAAAGAAAGATGTGTTACAGGCAGAGGCGTAGGGTAAGATTCTAAATATCCAGCTGTTTACTTCTGCGATTCATTACCATTATTGGACCTATCTTTCGCAGGGGAAAATCAAGTCATGAGGAAGATATACTTTACCTCATCTTCTCCTTTGCATCTTCGAAGCTTTCAGACACAAAGTAGACATCCTGAAAAGTTGTGATGAGACACTCCTGCTTGCAGGTAATCTTGGGATCAAAGGGCTTTACTTTGGCATGGCCAGAAAGTGCATGCTGGAGGAGGGAGAGTGAGCGAATCAAAGACTGCTGTCTATTTTCATGGATCACATCTACACACAACTGCCCGAATCGGCACACCTCTGAATGTATTACTAAGGCACTGGCCCCAACCTCCATTTCCAAACTTATTTCCTACAGCTCTATTTACCCCCACAATATATGCCAGCAAAACCAACAGCTTGCTATTCCCCATAAATGACCCAAGATCACCTCCATTGTTCTAACACTCTTCTCCATGTCGGAGGCACCCAAGGATCTTTCTTTCTTTATTTCTGCACTATGGCACCTACTTTCTACCCTGCACTAGTTACTCCTATACACGACTTGTACCCACCACCAGGAGGTCAGCTTCCTGAGAGCAAGACAGTGCCTTGGATGGTATTTCCTGCACATCTGATTTAACATAGTTTTTTTATTTAAATTGGAAATTAGAGAAAAATGTTTCTTAAGTAATGTTTACTGCCACCCCAAGTATTTTCCATAGTAAGCTCTTGTTCAAATCCAAATATAATTTCAGGTCATATCAATTCTATGAAGTGGGTATGGTTATGTGCAAAGATCTACAGCTCTTACTTTGAGTTCGCTGATAGAAGAGAGTAATCCAGCACCAAAGACTCTCAGCTGCCCGTCTTGTTTACACAGACCAAACTCCACAGTGAAAAAGTAGCACTGCGAAAGGACATCGACATCACTTCACATCCTGAGTGACTCAACATAACAAATCACAGCTCTTCATCCCCAACCCAGAGCACCCTGGAATGAAGCCCCAGACCCCCAGACCAGCTCACAAGTATTTCTTCAATCGGTCTTGTTCTAAACCAGCACTTCTCAAACTTTTGTTCCCAGGACCCTTACACACTCTTAAAAATTACTGAGGACCCCAAGACCTTTTGTTTATCTGGGTATGAGCGAGCTATATTTACCATATCAAGAAATAAAACTGAGAAAAATTTAAATGTTTATTAATTAATTTTAAAATATAATAAACCATTTTATGGTAATATAGACATTTTAATGAAAAGTAACCATATTGTACAAAACAAAAATCATGAGAAAAGTAGCATTGTTTTACATCGTTACAAATCTTTCTGATGTCTGGCTGGAAAACAGATGGACTCTCATATCTACTTCTGTATTTAGCCTGTTGCAATATGTTGTTTTGGCTAAAGTATATGCAGAAAAGAAAGCCTCACACAGATAAGTAGTTGGAAGAGGGTTTAATATTGTAATAGCCTTTTCAGACAATTGTGGATATTCTTCTTTGATATTCCATCAAAACTCAACAGTAGTTTCTTAAAGTTCAGCTGCAATGTGAAATCTGAAACCACATCAATGAACTCTATTACATTCAAATCCACTTTGCACTTTGAATGGATCTTTTTACTCAAGGACCCTGTGAAAGGCGTTCAGAGACCCCAGAGGTCCCCAACCCACAATTCGAGAAGCACTGTTCTAACCATCTAGCTTATTTCATACCACATCCCCGACTCTCACAGGCTGCTCCAGCTTCTTGTCATTTCCCCAGTTACAACAAGCACTCCCTGTCTTTTCTTGTGTGCCTTCATGCTGAGATGTTCTTCCTTCCTTTCTCAGCACATGAAAACATTACTTCTCTTCCATGGGCCAGTCCAGATGTTCGTCTTCCATGAAAGCGGCCCCAAGCAGTTCTCTGCACTCCCAGAGCTCTCTGCCTGAACTTCTCTAGAGACCTCATCTCCTTCTAACACAACTGTCTTCTCAAGAAGTGTGTAGGTTCCTTGAAGGCAGGAACCAGGCCTTACTCATCTTTGTATTTCCAGCACGATGTCTAGCACCTTGCGCTCAAAAATATTTTTAGCATCATTTTTAGGGAATCTATCATTTTTGTTGAAAAAAGAAGATATACAAACTACTAACATTATTGTACTCCAGAGTTTCTCTACCTTTTTTTTTTTAAAGCTCATGTCTCCTTTTGATAAATCTTAAAGTTTTACATCCTCCTTTAGTGTTATTTAAATTATTTAAATTAAATTAAGACAAATTTTCTAATGGTCATCTTGAATGTACACTTTACCCAAATACTCAGACCCCACCCCAGGTAAGAATTATTGATCTATACAGCTATTTCCAGATTTATACCGTTGCCAGTTTTTGAACAGCCTCCTCTGAAGCTCCAAGGGAAGCCAGGCCAATTTCTTGGGAGAACTGAGCAAAGCTAGGTTCAGCCAAAAGGGGGACATGACCTAAGAGTTCATGGCAGGTATCTCTGAAAAAGAGGTACAAGCTTGTCACACTGTGATGCTTCTCATGAATGCACAACCAACCATTAATCTGATCTTTTGTTTTTTCAGATTGATCAGGTGGTACTACTTGGAAATGAACCACAAAGGACAGTAATACAAATAAAGAAACTATTTTGGTTCAAAACCTTGGCCACTCACAAACACACGCACATAAGTGCATACAGATACCCATAAACAGCCACATGACCTCCATTCCTTTAGGGGTTTTAATCAGAGCTCTGCTCAAATGTCACTTCTCAGCATGTCCTTCCCTGATCACCCTTTTCCAAATAGAAACACCTCCCATGCACAACTCTATGTCCTCTCCCTGCTTTATTTTGCTCCACAGCACTTATCACCGTCTGAAATAATACATATATTTACTGATTTGTTTATTATCTATATTCTCCATTGGAATATAAGCTCTATGAAGGCAGAAGCTTTTGTCTGATTTTTTTCAGCGTTACACTTCCTATGCTTAGAACAGCACCTGGCACCTAACAGGCTGCCAATTAATAATAGTACTAACAATGGAGAACATACATAGAGCATGGGGCATGTGTTCTGGGCCAGGCACTGTTCTAAATGCTTTACGTGAATTCATTTAATCTTCACAAAAACCTCATGAGGTAGGTACCATTATTACGAATAGCTATTTGATGAATGAAAGTTGAAGTGCAAGTACTTACGGCTCTGGGGTGTAGAGGGGATCTGAACTGTGTCTCACATACTGTGTGCAGTGAAAAACTCGAAAGGCTAAACCTGATAAGAAATCTCTTGGTGATAAGTAACCAGCTACAGGACGAATGGAAAAACCTGTGCGCTCTGCAAAGCAAAGGAGAAAACAGAAAATCTTCACCAGGGGCCGGCCCCGTGGCATAGTGGTTAAGTTTTCAGGCTCCGTTTCCATAGCCCAGGGTTTGCAGGTTCGGATCCCAGGCGCGGACCTAGATATCGCTCATCAAACCACACTGTGGCAGCATCCCACATAAAATAGAGGAAGACTGGCACAGGTGTTAGCTCAGCAGCAATCTTCCTCAAGCAAAAAGAGAAAGATTGGCCACAGATGTTAACTCAGGGCCAATCTTCCTCACCAAAAAAAGAAAGACAGAAAGAAAATCTTCACCAGAACAGACTGTTTACTTCAACACTTTAATTCTGCCAGTGGCACCAAGTAATACGTTGAGGGAGGACATGGAAACTAAAAATTTATTATATGTGTACTATGGGGAAGTAATAATTATAAGCACTTACCATGGCCAGGCAATTAGTTAGACCTTTTACATATCAGATCTCCTTTCATGTTTACAGGATGAGTTTATTCTCCTCATTGTGACAACTATAAAACTGAGGCTCAGAGACTCAATATTGTGCCCAAGGCCACACAGTAGATGATAAAGGTAGAATGAGAACTCGGGTTTCCTTATATTACACCTTGCTGCCTGCCTAAAGAGTTCAGAATACCCCCTAGACAATCTTACTTTCTTTTAAAAAAATAACTTAGTAACAAGATCTACTAATTTAGACCAGAACTACTCTTGAATCTATGTCATTTTAAGCCAGTACTACCTCTTGTAGTTTCTTTATTTTATCTAAACCGGATGATGCTCTTCCATCCCTCAACAGCTAAGACTGCATGCCCGCTGTAGAAAGGGCAGCCACTAGGGTGCAGTGGCTCAGGGCATCTCTATAAGCTTGAATCTTGCCCTTCATTTCAAACCCTCACACTCTGGTATTCCAGTTCCACCCAGTTGCTTTGTACTCGGATTCTCCCACTCTGACATGCAGACTTCATGGTCCAACAGATCTTTCCACAATGATAGAAATGTTCTATATCCAGGCTACCCAATAGGGTAGCCTCTAGCCACATGTGGCTATTAAGTACTTGAAATGTGGCTAGTGCAGCTAGGAAACTAACATTTTGGTTTACATTAATTTTAACTATTTAAACAACTATATGCCTAGTGGCCACCGTATTTGATAGTGCAGGTGGTCTCTTCCAACTAATGTTTTGTTTGAACTGTCTTTTAATTTTGGTTTCTCTCTTTGACACTTTCCCTTGAAATACCTTTAGCAAAATGTTCTGCAGCCATGCAAGCTCCAGACCCTAAGTGAACAGCTTTCAGTTTTGTATCTGTAGCAAATATTTCCTCCAAATCTTATGCAAAATTTGATTTGATGACAACTTCTATAGCATCTGCTTATCCATCTTTGTATGTCCCACGAGGTCATGTGCATTGGTTCTCTGTCATCCTTAATCAGTATTTTTATAAAAATCCAGTTTTTGTAGGAACCACTTAGGTGAATTATTCCCTTGTAAAAACTATATTGCCCTTTCCTGTTTAGTCTTTCTTCGTTTTGTGTATAGTGGTTGAGTGATGATAATTGTGGAGTTGAATAGATATGCAGATTTTTGTAACAGTCTATGTAAGAAATTCAGAGAGAGTAATTTCAGACCATGATGAGAATAAACTAAACTCTGAATCAAAAACGTAACTTCTTTTTTCCCCTAAGGTGCTAATCTGCTGTGATCAAAGGAGATTTTTATTTTTCTTACATTCTCTAGACTCTGGAAATCAGTGACCATTTTACTTCCTATATTAGATAGAAAAAATAAGGAGGCCTGGGCCAAATAAATATGAAGAACTGAAAGGAACACAATTGTCCTTCCCCTTTGTTTATGTTTCTGCTAGCACATCTCCTCCCTTGGGAAACTGATAGAATCTTGGTGTGGAAAGGGCTTCAGAGATCATCTTCTCCAACCTTGGCCAAGTGGCTTGAATCTCCTCCACCACATCCCTGAGAGTGGTGTGGCGCTCTTGCAAATACCTCCAGGGATGGGGAACTAACCATCTCAGGAGCCTGTTCTATTTTCAAATGGCTCTTTTAGCAAGGTCTTCTCCATTCTGAGCCAAAAGCTTGCAGTTTCTCTTCAATAGTCCTTTACTTGAGGGCCACCGAGTAACCCTCTATTACATAAAAATGATTTTCCAATATTTAAATATAGCTGTAATGTCCCCTAAATCTCCAAGTTAAACACCCTAAGAGTCCTTCAAACTTTACTTATATGACACATTTTCCAATCCCCTTATAATTCTGCTCACTTTCCTCTACACTTCCTCCAGGTTGTGATTGTCCCTCTTCAAATGTGGTGCCAACTACTGTACCCGATACTCCAGGACAGAGTACAGGAAAATTCTGACCTCCCATATAACTGGACCTTATTCATCTATTAAGAATTCTATCATGATCAAAACAGAGTTCAACATTCCCCTTCCAAAAAATTAATTAGCTTATTACCTTTTAAAAAGTTTGAGACATCTTCCAGTTGTGGGATATTATCTTCCCGGTATCCACAATATTTAGAAAGCAAAGGTAAGTTTTTGAGATACTCTCTGCACGCATGGGTTGGATAAAGTTTGTTGAGCTCTCGGAACACAGTACCCCACGTCTTAATCTCCTCTTCAGTGAATTCAACCTTAGGAATGGGGTCTCCACTAGTGAGATACAGGGAAGGAGTTATTTTGAATTAGCATTTAATCAACAGTAGCACTTATTTTCTATTTACTAAATGAGCATAGTGTACTCTATTTATTATTTTATTATTTCAAAGTTGGATAAGTTATTTTTACAATATACTTACTGTTTATAGTTCATAGCCAAGTCTGCAAAATACTTTCGTCTTTTACGGTAGACATTGTCTTTGAAGCCCTGATAATTAAAGACAAGTTTTTAAATATTCACACTAAAAAATCCTTGACAAATGATATATAGGAAACATTTCATTATTACTTGAGCTATTATATTAAAGGGCTACATAATTGTTATTATGAGCAAGCATTGTTAGAAATCTATGATCATTTTTATTTCAAAGTCAGTACCACACTAGAGCTTTATACTACAGTGGCTACAAAGATAAAAGGTATTATTGATACAAAGATACTATAGTGGCTACAAAAATAAAATAGTTTGAGGAATGAGAAAAGCACCATCCTAGTTAAATACATGGCTCTTTTCCAAGGATGAGTTTTTTTTTCTTAATGTTCAACTACATTTTCAGTTATATTTTCCTGTAATAGGAATTCATAATAAAATAGTAATTAATAATACTGGAAATCATGACTCAACTGAATCTAACCTTATATTTTTATTGCAAAGTGCAAACATATTCATCATTTGCAGAAGCACACAATGATAAAAAAAATAGACAAAAGAGCAATGTTAGAATTTATATCTATGAGAAACATTTAGGAAAAAAATAGACAAAATAAGGCATCAAAAAGCAAAGCCCAGGAGGAAATAGCCAATAATGCAAATACTAGGAAAGAAGAGGAGGACACCTGCAAAGAGAGAATGAGACTCATCTCTAACACAGATTCATGAACCCCTACGACGCACCTGGCTGGTGCTAAAATATAAAAGGAATCATACAATACACGGCCTTTGGTGGCCAGCTTCTCTCGTTATCATAATGTTTTCAAGGGTCATCCATGTTTTAGCATATCAGTATTTCACGCTTTCTTATGGCCTATAATATTCCATTTTACGGACATAGCACACTTTACTTATCTATTCATCAGCGGATGGACATCTGGGTTGTCTCCCTTTTTTTGCTATTATGAATAATGATGCTATGAACATTTGTGTACAAGTTTCTGCGAGGACATATGTTTTCAGTTCTCTTAGATATGTACCTATTGTACCATTGGTGATTTTTAGGCAGAAGAAAGATAATGATCATATTGAGGTTTTTGATCGTTCTCGTGACTAAGAGGAGGATGGGTTTGAGATAGTAAGACTGGAAGCAGGGAGCCCAGTTAAGGAATATGGTCATAGGAATGAATAAAGAACAAATTTAAGAAATATTTAGGAGGTGAAAATCAGGAGGACTAAGTAGCAGCTCAGTAAAACTTATTTATTCATCTTTCCAAAAACATCCCTCAAATTTTCTTGCCTCTGAACCTTTGCTCATATTGCAATGAATTGTCCTTCCTCTCCATCTCTTTCCTGCCAAAATTCCTTAAGGCTCAGTAAAAATGTTGCCTTTCTCCGATCTCTTCAGCTAGAAGTCTTTGCTCTCTTGTGTATATTTCAAAGCAATCTCTTCATGCCACTTAGCACACTTTTTACTTTTTACCTTGTGTGTGTTTATTTATATATGTGTGCTTTATCTTTCCAACTAGACTGTAAGCTCCCTGAGGACAGGTATAGCAATTTATTAATTCCAATAGTGACTCAATAAGATGTTATAGAATAAATGAACGGATCAGCTGGTGGTTAAGGCAGTATAAGATCACATTCACACAGCTAATAAGTGGTAGAAGCTGAATTAAATCCTTGGTCTGTGGCTCTCTTCTCTCCTCCCCTCCCAGTATCCTAGAGCTCCTTAAGCAATCCTAATGCCCAGGATTTACTAATTCTCCAACTCACACCTGTACTGTATCCCATATAATTTTCCAAGGAAACAACTTCCGAGTTCATCGACTGCCTAATAAACCAATTATCCTGGGCAGCATGAGTGCTGTCTTTCTCCTTCCTCTATTTACTCCGCTTTCCAATAACTCATGCCATTTTAATAAAAACTGACTGCAGACACTGTCTTCATTTAGTATAACTCTTGAAATAGCTCTCAATAATAGGAATGCTAGGCATGGGACAGATGTTTTGGGGCCAATGAAGTTAGATTTTCTTCAGGCAGTTAGTCTCAATTCCACCAATGTGGAAGCCTACTAACACTTCCTGAAATCCGGATTAAAATGAGATCTTATTTAGTCTAGAATAAGCACTTTCTGGAAAAAACAAAAAGTTGCCCTTATTTTTAGTTTGCTTTAAATTACTTTCAAAAAAAGGTTTATTAAGAATATTTACAGGATGGTCCGCATCTAGTTCAGATCCATACATCAGAACTCTGTTGGCACAAAGGTCCAGGTCAGAAATCTTCTTTGGAAACCAAGGAACAGTTTCCATATCTGCAAAATACAAAAACCACTAAAAGTTGAAGAGACAGTCTCAAATAAGGCAATAAGGAAGAAGAAATTAAGAAAGCCATAAATGCTTTTGGATGAGATTTTTATTTTAGCTCGTACATTGAGGCAAAATTTATACAAGTGAACTACTCTATTTCTAGTAAGTAAATTTCATTCAAAATTTTTGAGCTTTAAAATTTTTTTTGAGTCATCAGGTTGATTTTCTACCAACCTGTTGTTGGAGAAATGCTGTACTTTAATAATAGACCAAAAGTTTTAAAAAGAAAAACAAAACAACTTAACCCACATATTTAGTTATCTTAAAAAAAAAAAAAACAGAATAAAGATGTGCAACTTTACAGACTAAGTGCAAATTTAGTAAGAACTTTGATTGTTAAGTTTTGTTGATGATGGGACCTTGGAGATCATTTATGTCTTTGCCACTTTGATCTTCTCATCATTCCTCAGACATACAAGCCCTCCTAAGACTCTGGCTTTTTGCATATGCTGTTCTTTTGCCTGGAATACCTATCCCACTCCACTTTCCACTCCACTCCATCCTTCTATTTTCCTGAGACTCTCCTCATCCTTCAAGATACAAGTCAAATGAGCCTTCGCTGACCCTGTAGGTGGAGCTAATTCTTTGTCATCTGTGTTCCTATGACACTATATTTCTAACTCTCTCAAAGCTTTTTTTTTTTTTAATGCTTTTTTTTGGTGAGGAAGATTGGCCCTGAGCTAACATCTGTTGTCAATCTTCCTCTTTTTTTTTTTTCTCCCCAAAGCCCAAGTTCATGGTTGTATATCCTAGTTGTAGGTCATTCTAGTTCTACTATATGGGATGCTGCCGCAGCATGGCTCTATGAGTAGTGTGTAGGTCTGCACCCAGGATCCAAACCTGCGAACCCTGGGCAGGCAAAGCAAAGTGCACAAACTTAACTGCTCAGCCACGGGGCCGGCCCCCTGAAAGCTTTTACTATATTTTATCACAACGCATCTGTTTATCTGTCTGTCTCACACAAAAGAATGGGAATGACTCCGGGATAGGGACTATATTTTTGTTTCTCCATTTCTTGGTAGAAATATCTGATACAAGTTGATGTGCCCTAAATATCAACCGAACCATTTAGCCTCTATAAAACTCTTCATTTAATAGATGAGCTAACCAAAGTACAGAAAGGTAAAGTAATTTCTCCAAGGTAACTCATTCCTAATGGACGAGAGAGGACTAGAACTCCATCCTTCTTGCCCCAGTCTAACGCTCTTTCTAACAAATCCAGAAGTGCTATTCAAGAGATTTAACAAATACAACAGGGGCACTAATCACTCAAAATAGACATGAGCAGAGTCCTAGGCTCCTGCTTGGCCAGGTGTTAACCCTTTAGTTGTTTGTGGTGGAGAGAGGACTCCTCGGGGAGGATCTGGAGCACACTGGCTTCCCGCGTGGTGGGGGGCACTCACAGGACTCAGGGAAGCAGCTATCTGCCAGGCAGAAATGGAAGTCCATCAATATTGTAATAGCTTGTACAGCCATACGAACACATAGCAGACAAATATCAGCTCTGATGATACCCCAAACACTGTGACATAATCTGAAGGGATTATTTTAAATTGAATACTCTATATAAAACCTGGCTGAATTATCCATTTGTCTTTGCCCCAAGTAAACTACCAGGGTTTTTTCACAATGGAAGATCTTAGCCTATATCTTTGCGATCTGAGTGTCTGAAACTTCAGAAGGCTTTACTGCTTTTTCAATTGTTTTTGGTGGGAGTGGGGACAGGCAGGAATGCTGTACAGAGTGTATTTCACATCATAGTTGTCAGCAGCTGTCAACATTCTCAACAAATTCAAATATTCACTTACTCTACTAATGCTAAGCCCTGTGAGAGTTTCTAAGTGCTCAGGGATTGTGAACGGAGGTTTGTGAAGTCAAGAAATGCTTGATGATTTGGAAATGGAGATAACTTAGTTGATTTCTAACTATGCTGAATTCTTTCTTATATTCAAAGTTTCCTTTCACTTCTCTCACATGTAATAAAATGTTGCTTGATGATTTTTCTTTAGCATTTTGAGCAAACTATGTTTTGTGTTCCCTTCACTACAAAACTGTGAGCAATTTGAAGAGACAGTGTTTTATTTTCACTTTCATGCCTTTAAGATAAATACAAGATTACACACAGATTATGAACATAATCTTCTGAGTTGTATTTTCACTTTTCAAACTTACCATCTTCCTTCACAGTGAAATTATCTGGTGGATTCACAGAGAGAACATTAGTATGAGACTTCAAGAGGTGAAAAATATCATTCAATTGTTCTCTGTTGATATCACAGTCAATAAAAATCTCAAATTCTGAGTTTCTCCTCTTTGACATTCGGGACTCGATATGTAACAGGTTCACATGCTTCTCCTGTGTAAAACAGAAGGTCAAGATCACGTGTGATGGCCTCAGTGGCCTCAGATGATAATAGTCTCTGAGAAGATGACTTTCACTACCGTTAAAAGTCAACTTCACACTTGTCATAATAGCCAAAGGGGAAAAAGGCTGTTTTTAGTGCTGCCAACAGCAAAATAATTCTCCCTAAATATTAGGTACTATTCAAGAAAGTTTGAAAAATTCATCACATCCCCCAGAAACTGATAAAATCACACTCACTAGAAGTTTCTCAGATTGCCAGAACTGATTGGACTTCAAATCAAAATACCAACTCTCCCAGATAAAAAAGAACCTTTTGAAAATTATCATAAATAAAAGCCAGTTTTCAAAAAGTGATATTAATGTTAGTCCTTTAGAAAGAAAAGTTTCCTTGCAAAAATGCATTTAGCAAAATTAGATGAACAGCGTGAACCCAGAGTATTTAAAACCTCAAATCTCTTAAGCTACAGACTTAGTAACCAGCTGAACCAGATTGCTTCTTCTGATCTCTTGCCGCGCAGCCCGGGCCACGGGTGCCATATGTGCAAACCTGTGGGAGGAGGGCATCTTCTCTCACCAATTTGGGTAGCTGAGGAAAAGGAGTGGAGACATAGTAATGAAACATAAGAAACAATCATTCAACAGTTTTTTCATCTAAAAAATGAGAAGATTAGAGTAGATGATCTTCAGTACTAACCAGTTCAAACTAAGTTAACTTAGCAAACACCTATGTAGCCAGATAAGAGCTGTGAAGCAGACGAAAAAGGGTAAGACATACAAGGAGTTTAACCTAGTTGGCTAGCACGAAAGACTAAGAGAAAACAAAAGTAATGAGTGTTCGGGTGCAGAAGATGTTTGACAAAGGGAAAAGGCATCATGGGTTAGAGAGAGTAGAAGGTTCTACGGAGTAGATAGGAACTGAAATGAGTCCTAAAGAACAGATATAATAGGAAGACAGAAAGGAAGAAAGAGGATTCAAACAGGAGAAACTGTACGAGCAAAGGTAGGGGTGAGATAAGAATTATCACGGGACATGAACTGAGAAAGGAGAGGGAGTGTCAGGGATGTTGGGAAATTGGAATAGGCAGGGTTTATCATAGAACACAGAATTTATCATGGAATCAACAGAAGAAAGCCAGTTACAAAATGGACTGGAATTGATCAGGAGTGAAGGAGAGTTTCATTTAATCTATTTCTTATAAATTTCTACAATGAGAATGCATTCATAAATATTTTCTGAATGATGACTTGAATAAATATAAAGCTAAATTATGTTTTTGGAGAAAAAACATAAAATATCAATCCTTCCTAAATTAATCTATAAATTGAATGCTATCAAAATCAAAATCTTGATGATATTTGGTGAGGAAACGCACCTAAACAATTTAAAAGTCCATCTGGAAGAAAAATTTAGTCAAGAAGATCAAGGAAAATTCAGATAGTAAGAGAGACACTCCCTATCAGAAATTTCAATTACAGAAATAGAAGCATAGAGAGATTAAGCAGTTTGCCCAAAGGCACACAGCTAACAAGTAATTCAAACCCAGGATGCCCAGCTCCGTAGTCTATGCTCTTAAACACTAGACTGTAATCCAGTGGCACAAGAAAGCAGGATTCACAATAATGAATAACATGGCTCTTCTTTGAACAAGATTTCCATAATCTTAAGAATAGACACACTAAAAACTGACATAGCCAAAAATGGCAACATAACCTCATTGGGAAGGTGGGGGGAAAAGGAAGTTGAGGGGGCCACTGGAAAGGGAGTTGTGTCAAGAAAGCTAAATCTTTACTTCCATTGGAGGAAATCACTCAGAAAGACCTACAATTGAAAAAAGCAAGAAATAGTAGCATAATAAGTATATTGTTTATAAATATGGAATTGAATAGTAGAAAATATAGTTAAAAGCATTGAAATGGTTGCTTCCTGTAGGCTGAGGATAAGTAAAATGAGTGGATGCATCCCAGAACACTATGCAGCCGCTAGAAGAACAAACGAGATCAACACACAGCAGCATGGGTAGGTCTTAAAGACAGTGCTGACTGAAGGAAGAAGTGTACCACACGATAACGTTTATATAAGTTACCAATGCTGCACACACAAAAACTCTACACGTCCCCAAGTACACACAAAAAATAATTCAATGTATAGATTAAACATTTCAGAGCAGTTGTCTATCAGAAGAAAGAATCGGAGATAGAGTGGAACGAGGAAATAAAACAGGAGGAGGCTGCATAAATCAATTACAACAGGGCACACAGTTAGGGAGTATTTAGTGAGTATGATGAACTCAACTCTCCGCACCCAAGATTAACCAAAAAATTAAATGGAACTCAGGAGAGAAGAGAGATGAAGCAGAAGACTGCTGTTTTCTTCACAAGCTTTATAGTGTGGGTTGACTTTTTAAACCATACACAAGCATTCTTTGATTAGAAATAAAATTTAAAAAGACAGCTGATGGAAGAAGAAACAAAGACATGTTATTTAGAGACTCAAAGGTAATCAATAGAAGAGCTTAAAGTAACGTAATTATCAAATTTTAGGAGGAGTAGGAGGGAGAAAAGAGGGAGGTGGTAACAGTATCATTCACAAAGGAGAGTAAATGAATATTGTATGAAGTTGATAACTCAAAGAGAGCTACAAGAGCAATATTTACATTTTATAAACTCACCATCAAAGGAACTAAGGAACAGAATAGTTAAAAAAGGTTGCCATAGTCCATGGAGTGGGACTGAGGATATGGTGTGTTGGGTGGGAAAACTGATGCTTTTCTAACTCTTCTAGACTATTTGTCTATATTTTAAAATGATAATTCTTTGAAATATTTTCAAATGGCTATATAATATTATGTCATATGATATGAACTTGATTTTTAAAATAGCCAACATTTATTTATAATGTACTTTGAACTATCCAAAGCACTTTATATATATTAACTCTATTAATTCTCACAATGACCCTCTGAGGTAGGTAGAGTTCTCGTTTTATAGATGTAAAGACTGAAGCACAGACAGACTAATTAATTTGCCCATGATCACCCAGCCAGTAAGTGACAGAGCAAGGATTTGAACCCAGGTCATCTGCCTCCAGAGCAAAAGCTCAATCTCAGTGATGTTCTCGTAGCATAATTTAACCTCTCCCCTACCTTAAGACAAGTAGTTTGCTTATAATTTTTAGTTCCCATAAACAAATCTTTGTATCCCTAAGCCCTTAAACCAGGTTAGGTCCCCAGTTCAATGCTAGCATAGTACCTGGTAACTTCTCTTTCAGGTCATTTTACACGCATGTAATTATGTATTTACTACAATATTTGTTTAGTGTCTGTCTCCCCCTCTGGGTTATACACACCGTGAGGGCAGGCACTGTGTCTCCTTGGATCACATCCACATCCTTAGGACTTGGCACACAGAAGTACTCAGTAAATGTTTGTGTTCTGCCTGACTGACCCCAATTTCCTTAAGATAGATTCATGGAAGTGGAATTACTGGCTCAAAAAATGTGAACATTTTAAGGCTCATAATATACATATTGCCAGATTGTTTCCCTACATGTCACATCAATTTACCCTCACACCAAAGGTGTATTTAAGTGCCAAAACACATGGAAGCTTTGGCAGTAGGAAACAGTATAATCGTACAATCTTTGCTATTTTGCTATATTAAATATCATTAAAATTTTAATATTTTATTTAATTAAAATTTTCTTCTCTGAAATCTATGAAGTGAATCTTTCCTCCCCCATTTCTTTATTAGCATTTGCATCTCCTCTCCTGTAAATCGCTTGTATCCCTTGTCCATTTGTTAGAATTGAGCAATATTTTAGAAATTTAAGTGCTTAAGAAATTTCTGCAGTCCACTTCTGAAGAATTTACAATAATTTATATTTTAAATATAATTTTAGAGACTCATTTTAGCAGAGTTTTATGCAGAAATATGGAGAGTGCTTACCTGGAAGATTTTCAGGGCTTTTATAAGTCCTCCAACTTCATTCTTTAAGGAAAAAATGAGAGTTGCTCTTCCCCTTTCTAAAGAATGGTCTTTGTTTTCCTTGTTGTCTTCAATCATGATGAAGTTGGTGTATTTCTCTAACAAGAAAGTATGAAAATATAAAGGAAGGTCTAAGAAAGAAATTGTGCAATGTAGACAATATTTGATAACATTAACCAAAAATTTTAGTTTCCTTACCTGTAAAACAGGGATATGCAGATATGCTTTGCAAGACTGTGATGAGACCGAAGTGAAATAAAACATTGCCTAGCACGGTGCCCAGGATGTAATAGGCATACAATACACGTTAGTAGTTACTGTTTCTTTTTCTCTAATCCAAACCTTTCAGGGCATGACTCAAGCCGGCCGGCTTCTCGCAGTCTTCCAGACTATTGTGGCCAGAACAAGGTGTTCTTTCTCTGTGAAAACCTACCTCCTCTCTCCTGACAATTGTAGCACTTTGTTATACCGGGTCTCGAATGGCTTCCTCAAATGTTTATTCATACATGTCTGAATACATTCATACATGAAGGAGCAGTGAGCTCCTTCAGAACAGGGATGAGGCCTTCTACAGTATTTCTTTTATAAGTTCAAGAGCCTGGTCAGCTCTGGACACATGTGGACTAGAAGAATAACTGTACCAAGAGAGTTCTAGTTCCATACAAGTATCTCCTTTCGTCTCTGGCTGTGGAATCCCCTAGGCCATGGGCCCTGAAGAATCAATATTGGCCTGCACGTGCTATGCGATTATAAATCCACCTTTGTGTGTGTGTGTTGGGGGAGGGGAGGATATTGTGGGAGCTAGAAGTAGGGTACAGTGACTTTGTATTGATGACTTTCAGTTGAGAAATAAGATTTGGATTAATAAATAGAAAACGCATATTGAGGATTTATTTTTATTAGTTTTATTTTGGTTATTACTTCTTCCTAATCACCCAGTGTCATGTTGCAGTTCTAGTAGAATTAACTTTTAACAACTTAAACTGAGATAAGTGATCCTACTGTCTTTCACCTGCTCTCTCTCATTGACCCAAGCCTGCAGCACGACCACTCCGAGCAGGTACAGTGCGACCGCGTAGGCTTGAAGCCAGACAGGCTGTGTTCCAGTCCCTCACAGCTCAATCTTCACTTCTCGTGGAGGGTTCCCTGACCTCCCCGCATCAACTCCCCTTGGTGCTGGCATCATGACACCATATGCCCCCCAGTCATAACAAAGTCACAGGTGCAGATGTAGCTCTGTCTTGGTGAGTACTTGGTGACGTCTGTCTCTCCAACTAGATGGTGAGCTCCATGGGGGCAGGGATCACATGTGCTTTTACTCACCACTGTATCTCCAGGACCCAGCACAGTCCCTGCACATAACAGGCCCTGGATAGATGTCATTGAATGAATAAATTAATGAAAGATTGATTAAGACATGGTCTCCACCCTCAGGGAACTGGAAGTCTGGTGAGAGTGGCAATGCAGATGGATAGGCACTGCAACAGGGAGCACAGATGGCATAGTGATGGCAGTGACTAGATTGATTATTCTGGTACATATTCAGAGATGCTTCATTGAAGAAGATGTGTTTGAATTGGATCTTAAAGAAAAAAGGGGAAAGGAGTAGATGAGGAAGTGAAAAACAAAGGATGAGGTGGGGCTCACCCATTACAGAGCAGTGGGAGATCATGTAGGCAAGGTAAGTGGGGCCAGATCCTTCAAAGTGCTCTGTGAAGGTAATATGGGGAGTCTGGACTTGATCTTCTACGCCCATCCAAATACCTATGTAAGAACCATGGCCAGTCTGATCGAAGGCTAAGTGAGAAAAGTAAGGACAAGGTAGTTTTCCATTTAGCTAAAGTCCCAGCTTTGAAATGCTTTTCTATAGGATGATGCAAAATGAGGCACTTCATGCATTTCTGTCTTTCTGACCAGAGAGCTCCTGGTGAGTTTCTCTTTCCTCCATAAAGCCTTTTTCTTATCCATATTGTGTAACATTTTGGGGCCCCTTATAAGAGGCAGGCCCAAGAGACCTATCTGTCTTGATAGAGGGTATAAACTACCAAATATGGCTCAGTAATTTTCAGCTGTATGGTCATAAACAATAGTCTGCTACTAAATTTGCCAATGGAATACAATTTTCTGTTTCAGAACTCAGTCTTTCTGATACCTTTGGAATATGGTTTAACAAATATTAATCAGGCATGTGTTAAGTTGAAGGACTTCTACATATAAGTTCAGAGAGTATGAAGATAAGAAAAAAAGAAAATTCTCCACTCTGTGATGGCAAGATTCCATCCATTCTTAGCAACCCCAGGAGGGGGCTAAGAGAACCAACATTTGTCAAATGTCTATAAATGTCATGCACTAATATTATCTCATATAATTCTCATAAAATGTTGGCAGGAGGGGATAGGAATTATAGCTATTTTATAAATGAGAAAAATGAAGCTTAGAGAAACTAACTAACCTGTTCAAGGTCATACAGCTGGAGAATGTGGGAACTCATATTTAAAACTGTGTCCTTGAAAATGTGAATGTTAACACATCCATCTGATTTCACTGGGGTTACCCTAAAAATGTCCAGAAACATGGATGGTAAAACAAAATTCTACATCTAATTGAAAGCTGTCTTCTCAGAAGATGACACAGATATCTACTTTGGCATCTTCTTAACCACCTATTTACACTGCAAAACAGTGTAAGGAAATATCTGGAATGTGAAGGCAGACACATCCAATCACTGGTCTAACATTTATCGGTATATGACCTTGGGCATGCTACTTAACCTTTCTGAAATGGCAAAGTTCCCAAGCAGTTAACTGGAACTCACAACATCCAAAACTTTCTTATGCATTTTAAAACATGCACTGTGACTTGGTATTTTGATGTTTTCCCCACAGAAGAAACAAGCCTATTTCGGGTACCAAGAAAAGATTTAGATACATAATTCAAAATTTAACAAATACTTATTGATTCATTGAGTTTAAAATCAAAGCTGCTTAGATATATTTAACTGTGTCAATTTATTCTCTACAACTAAAACAATCTCCATGTCAAAAGCTTTAAAACTAAATGACCACTTAAACTTAATATTAACGTGGATTTTTTCTGTGACTTAAATGATTACTAATGGTAAAATAAGTGAAATTTCAACCCAAGTACATTCACATGTATAAAGTACCATAGTCAGTGTTAGGGCAGTAAAGATTAAAAAACAAAGAAGACAATTCGCCTCCAAAGAGGCATATGTATGAGGGAGGGGGAGGAGGAGAGACAGACTTTCCAATAGGTGCAAATAAGCAGAAGAGAACAAGACCCCGAGATCCCAGCTATGATATCTGAGGAAAACACCCAACCTCCCCCCCTACTTCCCCACCCCTTGATCAATATCCCACAAGATTCTGAAGACGACTGGAGATGGCTTCTGGCCCATCCTTAAGTCCCTGATCAGAAAGGATTTATGGATGAGAAGCAAGAAATCCTAAGAGAGATCTTTGGCTTCAAAGGAATTGACCATTTCTTAAGGTAAACTTCAGTATACACAGGAAATTCTGAATTGGTGACGCTGGGGTTAAAAATTCAGGAATGGTCTCAGATATGCGTTCTCAAAATGCTTTTAGAAATGTGAAAACCTTTGGAAACATTTCTCATCTGTCTAACTATCACTCAAAGACCACAGATGAGTTTTTCTCATGTAGAGTACAGGTGACTTTGTCCTGTAGTATGCAGATGCAAACAATAAGAGAGATGTAAAATAATATAGCAGTTGTCTGGTAATAAATCCATCTACAGATCCTTCTAGGCGAGCTATAATTTCCATGTGCATCAATTTCCTTATTTGCAAAATTAGAAGGAGGATAATTAGCACCAATCTATGATTATAAGGAGGATTAAATAGATATATTATATATAAAACCCTTAGAACAGTTGCCAGCCTATGCTAAGTACTCAGTGAATATTAGCTCTGATAATGGATAGTACATCCCAAATTTCCCAGTCTTCAGAAAAAAGGGAAAATGTTAAATTGTAATGGAATTGACATTCTAAACTCCTCTAAGAATTTTTCTTGCCCTGGGAATTAAGCATTTCACAAGATAGTTATAAATCTATTTCTTTTTTTTTTAAGATTTTATTTTTTTCCTTTTTTCTCCCCAAAGCCCCCCGATACATAGCTGTATATTCTTCATTGTGGGTCCTTCTAGTTGTGGCATGTGGGACGCTGCCTCGGCGTAGTTTGATGAGCAGTGCCATGTCCGCGCCCAGGATTCGAACCAACGAAACACTGGGCTGCCTGCAGCGGAGCACGTGAACTTAACCACTCGGCCACAGGGCCAGCCCCAAACCTATTTCTTATAGTAGCAAGCACATGGAAAGCCTGTTTTATGACAGAAAATGTCAAGTATTCTTTTGTCTGAAGGTGATTTTCAACTTCATTAGTTTATTTATTATGAAACCCCTAAAGTGCATTAAGTTCCAAATCTCAAGTGAATAATTAGCAATTCTTTCGCAAACAGATGAAGACCCCAAAGTATAATTTGAGTCAGCCTATACTTACTGAATTCCTGTTTTCCCTGATATTATCACCACGCCATGCTGAAGGAAGAGGATTCTGCAAATATGAGCTATTTCCTGTCCCACCATTATTCCTGAACACAAGCAAACTGTAAGAACTGGGAGCAAGGATCAGAGAACAGTAAAGAAAAGCAATTTCTGCCAGTCAGTGGTGACACTGAAAGAATTTCAGATCTCCTCACAGTTCATCCTTCAACAATCTCTCAGAGCTTAGAATGCAATTCTACGTAGAAAACGACATAAAGATTTCCTTTCACATTTCAAAACTGGCCCTCAAGCTCCCCTGACAGGAGCCATTGTAAGAAGCTACTAACAGCCATGGCTGGTCTAACTCCATCCCTTTGGAGTTCATAATTCTCTCTTCTTTCCCTGGTTCTGGAATGGATCTAGTTTTGCCACCAACATCACTTTCGTGGGTGGAGGCAGAGGAAGATGAGGGATACGATGACCGAATATTTATGATGTGGAAGGCATTTTATATTGACGTTTGGAAAAATTCCTATCCTTCTTGTTTAAGTCAATATAAGAATAAGGTTTCTCAAAAGGAACTTTTGCTAAGGAATTAGAAGAAAAGAATTCTCACCTCTTCCTCCTCCGCCACTCTCCACGCCCAAAATAAGCTTAGAGAGCATAGGGCTTTGATCTTTACTAAAATTGGGCCCTAACTTTGCTGAGTTGACAGAGCTTATGAGGCATCAGTTCTTTTTTCCTTTATTCAGCTAACCCAAATGCCTTCCAGAACCTCACAATTTTCACTTGTCATTTTCTTGCTTTTCCTCCTTCAACTTAGCTACCCCCTCCTACTCCTTCAGGAATAAAACCCTACAACACTAGCTGGTAAGATAAGAGGCTACAAAGTTTCCAAGGGGGCACACCTTTTTGAATCCATGTCTCATCAACAAGTCTATATTTTCTTTTTAAAGCAACACCTAATAGGCCAATGCCAACTGGTGCTTTCCCTTTTCCTGTGAAGGCAGGGAGTCATCCTCCTGCTGCGTTTCCTGGCCTGAGGAAAGATGCACTGGCGTGAGGACATGCCACTGGAAACAAGGCAGCCACACTAAGAAGCAGCTCAGAAGACTGACAGCCCCTTGGCAGAGTAGAGGTCAAGGTGAATATACTGACTAAATCTTTCCTCCCCTTCATCAATAAGAAGTGTAATTTAAATTTATCTGATCTAGGAAGCAGAAAGACTATCAAATTAAAGTATCTTGAAACCACAGATACTACTTGAAGACAGAACCAAAAGCTGTGAGGAGGACTGGTGTGGAGGGACAGAATCCTCCAGAGAATCTTGATTTTTCTATTCTAAATGGGGAATAAAGAGACTGAGAGTGAAAGTGGAGATGAAATACAAGAGAAAATACTGCCTATGAAAAACATTGGTCTAGGAAATAAAGGCAGAGGCAAAGAAAATGGAAATGGAAGATACATCCCTACCAGAAGATGATCCAATATGGTAACAGTTCATGTAGAAAGGAACTCCAGTGATGAAACACAGACCACAGACTACAGCTTTACAGAAACATGTATAGTTACTTGAAGCGGTGCTCACATCTACTTTTAAGCCAAACAGGTGAATTCCATTTTTCTTTGAGTATTGACAAGCACAAACTTTTACTAGATTAGAAAGCTCAATTCTAGTCTTTTCTCACCCAAGCCAGCTAGAGTAGAACATCAATGGGGAATTAAATTTAAGCCTTTGAAAACCAAATGGTCAGAGGTAAGGCTAAGCATATCTGGACTAGTAACTGGACGTGAACTACCAGGCCCTGAGTCTCTTCCTCAGTTGTAACCTCCCACCGGAACTCTCAGTCCTGTCTTGGGGTGGAGGTGATGAGGGTAGGTGTGATGCTGAGAGGTTTGCATCTGAGACTCCCTTTTCTTTAGGGATGTCTAAGGCTCCCTTTATGGGAGAGGGAGGAAAAAAAGAGATGTCATTTGATGGAGAGGAAGGGATGGAAGAAGAATATATATGTTTTGGCTAACAGAGAGAGACACAGACCCGGGTTCGACTCTGCCCCGTTTCCTCATGTGTAAAATGCAAGAACTATTTACCTCACAGGGTTTGTGTGAAGGTGAAATCAGACGACGTGTAAATAACCTGTTTCTGGCACACAGGTGGCCCTCAAAAATAGTTTTTTCTCCCCAAAGATGGTAGGAGGAAAGGAGAAGAGTGAGTGACCATAGGGATGAACTCCAACTTCCCAGATCCAGCTCCCTGGGTACATTGACATCCCGGGAGGGGGACCCCGTCTCTGCCCCGTGCCAGCCTAGTGCCCCTAAATCCGCGACAGCGACCCGTGTCCCCGCGGGAGAGGGCCACCCCACTCACCTCGGGCGCTGCTAGCGGCGAGCTGGGTGAGCCAGCGGACTGCGCTGCCCGCCTCTTATAGCAGCGGCCGTGAGAGCGGGCCAATGGGCGCCCGGGGCAGCCGGGCAGGGCCAATGAGAAGGGGGCTCGCCTGCCCGGGGCGGAGCCTCCGCCGGAGCTGACCTCCGCTCGGTGCTGACCGTCCAGCCAGCCTGCGCCGACGCTCGCACGCCTCAGCCTTTACGTGTATCTGCCTGGTGTTTTAATTAAGATAATGTCCGGCCATGCTTAACTACAAAAGTCTGACTAATATTAAACAGAGTTGGAAATTCCCTCCAAAGCAAGATCACATCTGTTACCGACATCGTGACCTCCGTTCTGCTTTTCCCGGTTGGCGACCACGGCAGGAACCCCTCTCATATCTCTGTGCTTCTAGGTTATCTGATGGCCCAGACCGGCCTCATCACTCTTTGGTGCTTTCCCTTGTTCCTCAAGGCAGAGCCATCGATGAACTTCTTAGAAGGGAAGTTCTCAGTACTTTTCCAATTAAAGAAATTTTAAAGCTGCAAGCAGAAGAACAAGGTATATTAGCAGAAAATCATGTTACCTGCTGTATGAACAACACGGCACAGAAGCCAAAAATTGGGGCTAGCTACATTATTTTTATTGGTTGAGTGCTAAGTTCATTAGATCCTGTCTCAAAAGACTATACAGGTAAGGCATTATGTTGCAGGACTTTTTTTCCCTAATTTTTTTAAGAGTCAAATTTATTGATGTATAATTTAACGCAGTAAACTTTACCCTTTTGAGACATTCAGTTCTGAATTTGGGCAAACATATACAGTTGCATAGCCACCAAACACTCATCACCTCAAAAGAGTCACCTTGTCTCAATCCCCTCCCCCCACACTCAACCTCTGACAACCACCAATGTTATTTCTGTCCCTATAGTTTTGCCTATTTCAGAATGTCAATAAATGGAGTCATATGGTATGTATAGGTTTTTGACTCCTGGCACTTAATATGATGCTTTTGAGCTGCATCCATTTTGTTGCATGCATTAGTAATTTGTTCCTTTTCATTGCTGAGTGTGGATGTCCTTTAAAATATAGGACATTTACAGCTTCCACATGCATTTTTTAAATTTTATCTGCATAATTCTGTGAGGTAAATATCATTCTCATTTTACAAATAAGGAATCTCAGGCTTAGGGAGGCTCTATGACCATCTTATGGCACAGGCTAGTAAGCAGAATGAAGACTCAAACAAAAGCATTCTGACTTTAAATTTGGTGTTCTTACTGCAATACCTTGAGGAACACTGGCCAGGTAGAGACCTTTGAGAACCATGCTGGAGTCCAAGATGGCTTTCCTAAAGTTAGGTGTACAGGAGGGCGTGAACCACCTCTGTTAAAGAAGAGAGATGGGGCCAAGTCTTCAGTCAGCTCCTCCCCAAGGAAATCAGTACTGGTTGGGTGCTGGCCCTGAGGTGGAGCGGCCTGAGGAGTTGATCTCACTGACGCCCATCCAAGGTCACCTTGAAGCACTGAGCTGGAACCTTCTCTGAGCCTCTCTGAACACACATAGACCCCACAACCCTGGGGGACTCCAGGCACCTGGGCTTTCCCACTTCTCTGACAGGATTCTAAAATGATTCTGACCCTTCCCAAAACATCTCCAGCATTGCGCCTGGAATCCCACCTATCAATAATTTTCAATGGGCTCAATTATATGATTTAAAAATTCACATACTCTGAGAAGGTTCAGAGAAAGTGTTGTCAGTTGGAGAAAATATATATTTGCCTAATTAGAAGTGTTTAATTGGCTTTCCCCTGCTGCTGTAACAAATTGCCGCAAACTCGGTGATCTAAAGCAACACTAGTTTCGGAGGTCAGAAATCTGAAACGGGTTTCATCGATCTAAAATCAAGGGGTTGAAAGGGCTGTGTTCCTCTTGGAAGCTCCAGGGGAGAATCTGTTCTCCTGCCTTTTCCAGCTTCTATAGGCCACCTGCATTCCTTGGCTCATGATCCCCTTGTTCATCTTCAAAGCAAGCAATGCAGCATCTTTGAATCTGTCTCTGACTCTCCTCTTCCTCTATCACTTGTAAGGACCTTTGTGATTACTTTGTGCCTACCCAAATAATTCAGGTTAACCTCCCCATCTCAAAATCCCTAATCACATCTACAAAGTCCCTTCTGCAATGTAAGATAACATATTCACAGAATCCAGAGATTAGGACATGGGCATCTTTGTACCAAAATTAGAAGCTTTGGGTGGTAACCCAGATAGGAA